ACGTCTGGTCTCACCATTAATCTGTAGGATTACCAGTGTCCCCAACTGTTGTTGCCAACCCAAGCCCTGCAAATGTACAAATGGATTAAGTGGTTTCTGTAGTAGGCTAGTAGCCATCTTTATATCTCTCACCAATCGTCTAAAGTTAACCATACTCTGCCTTATTCTGTGAACAGAAAACAAAATCTGAAGCCTCATATGAAGGTGTTCAGAGGAAAGTAGTAAGTGGGGATGAAACTTGGAGAACTTGTGAAGTGAAATATGGGAGCTACTGCCTCTGGAGGGAGGAAAATAAGGAACCTATGAAAGATACCAAGGTGAAGCAAATGAAGGACCAGCTGTTTGTGGCTAGGGCATACTATCCCAGTATTGCTAAAATGCCTTCTCAAAGCAAGTTGACTCGGGATATGAAACAGAATATCCAAGAGTTTGAGCGTATTCTTAGTGAAAGTTCTCAAGATGCTGACCTTCCACCACAGTAAGTTCTCTATCAGTTTGGGTTTAATCATTTTTGTACTGAAAGTTAGTTCCTTACTGGAAAAGATTTTGTTGGATTCTAGTCACATGAATCTCTCCTAGTTTCCCGTCAGCTTGTCTGGACATCCTGTTTACTAGTGGTTTTACTTTCTTTCAGATGGTTTATGTTATAGAAAATCTTTGTCATAACATTCTCTCTTCACCTATTCAGTGGGCAGCACACCCAGAAATATCTCTATTTTGAAGCCTTATCTGTCCCAATATCTTAAACCAATGTAGAATTTAATAAACTAATGTAATAGATGATAAGAGGGATGCCATGGATGTTGTTTGTTCTCTTTCAGGAGAAGCTTTGATCTGTAGAATCCTCTGCTACTTTCCTTTAATCGTACTTATTAGGTATCTCTTTCCACTGTGTGTCAGGGTTGATAAAAAGTTGCAGAAGATGGAAGCTGTAATTGCAAAGGCAAAGTCTTTTCCAGTCGACTGTAACAATGTTGACAAGAAATTGAGACAGATCCTTGATTTGACTGAGGATGAAGCTAGTTTCCACATGAAACAGAGTGTGTTCCTCTACCAGCTTGCAGTACAGACAATGCCTAAGAGTCTTCATTGCTTGTCAATGAGACTAACTGTGGAACATTTCAAGTCAGCTTCACTTGAGGATCCCATTAGTGAGAAATTTTCAGATCCCTCATTGCTTCACTTTGTTATCATCTCCGATAATATACTTGCATCGTCCGTTGTGATCAACTCAACAGTTGTACACGCAAGGGTGCGTCTTAAATCCAGTTTCTTTACTTAGTATTTTTTCATGCAGTCGAAGAACTCTGATTTCTAATTTGTGGTTGGTTATCGATGTTTCAGGACAGTAAGAACTTTGTTTTCCATGTACTGACAGACGAGCAGAATTACTTTGCAATGAAACAATGGTTTGTTAGGAATCCCTGCAAACAATCAACTGTTCAAGTATTGAACATTGAAAAACTCGAGCTGGACGATTCTGATATGAAATTGTCTTTGCCTGCGGAGTTCCGTGTTTCCTTCCCCAGTGGTGACCTTTTGGCGTCCCAACAGAATAGAACACACTACTTATCCCTTTTCTCTCAATCTCACTACCTTCTTCCCAAATTATTTGACAAATTGGAGAAGGTTGTGGTTCTGGATGATGACGTTGTAGTCCAGCAAAACTTATCTCCCCTTTGGGACCTTGATATGGAAGGGAAAGTGAATGGCGCTGTGAAGTTGTGCACTGTGAGATTGGGTCAGCTAAAGAGTCTCAAGAGAGGAAATTTTGATACCAATGCCTGTCTCTGGATGTCTGGTTTGAATGTCGTTGATCTTGCTAGATGGAGGGAATTGGGTGTTTCAGAAACCTATCAGAAATATTATAAAGAGGTCAGTTTCCTGAAAAACCTTTTTTAAGAGATAATTGGGTGATTCTGTGCAATGACTTCCTTTTTTCATGTGCAGCAGATGAGTGGTGGAGATGAGTCGAGTGAAGCAATTGCATTGCAGGCAAGCTTGCTTACATTTCAAGACCAAGTTTATGCTCTTGACGACAAATGGGCTCTATCAGGGCTTGGTTATGACTACTACATCAATGCAGAAGCCATAAAAAATGCTGCCATATTACACTATAACGGGAACATGAAGCCGTGGCTTGAGCTGGGAATCCCAAAGTACAAAAACTATTGGAGAAAGCATCTGAATCGGGAAGATCGGTTCTTGAGTGACTGTAACGTGAATCCTTGATGAGTAAGTAGCTACATGGCCAATGCTTTTAGAAGCAAGGTCACACGCAAAAGAAAAGATTTAGAGTGCGACATCTCAATTTTTTGGGTAAATAAACCCGAATGCATTGCAGGAGAAATGCTGAAGGGGAAGAAGAGCATGCAGAAGCGATACCAAATTGATTTTAAGAGACGTGATGACGATGATTTGAAAAGCTTTGATATGATAAAAAAAAATGTGAAGAACTTTGTTATGTTGTATATGATTTTTGGCAAAGAGATGTGCCATTCTTTTCCTCGCGTTATATTTTCCAATTTGTCATGTAGTTTCTTTGTTATTCTTTACTTTTGTGACGTACCAAAATAGAAGGCGATAAGAATTTTTATCTATTTCTCACTGAACCAGTTTGCACAGTACGTTTATCCATAGTTTTAAAGCTTCTTCTCAGAAACCAAAAACCATCAGGTCTCATGAAGGATTTATCTCAGACATTAATGTCTGTTGCAAGAGGACAGTGTCTGCACTTTCATTGCTGATTTAGGACAAAGGTTTGCTCTGTTTCCAATGGACTGTTTCTCTCCAATGAAAGGAGAAACAACGTGGCCGGAAGAGAAGCTTGGAGGAGTAGCAGGTGCAGATGCAGTTGCCACAGCCAGCAGCGGATCTAAGTCGAGGCTCTTGAGGAATGTGTTCCAGAACGTTAACGCCTATAAGCTGCACTTAAAGGGATTGTGATTGTGACAGAACTTAGGACAGTAGGATCAGAGTGTTCCATAACTATGGTTGACCGATTCGGGGCTAAAGAGAGTGTGTACGTGTTAGTATAGCATTCTTTGATTTTATTGGATCTTCATTCATTTTCAGTAATCATGTAATTATATTCATCAAATGGAATCAAATGTCTCATAGTCATAGTTAAAGGATCTAACTTAGAAATCTTCATTCACATACTGTACTAGCCATTTAATGATGACGTACGAGATGCAAAATGTTTTCACAACACAAAAACACTAAAGCTAAGTTGAGGAATAAGTTGGTATATAGAGTGAGGAATCGGATTTGGTAGGAAGACAGAATTGTTAGGTTGTATTACATCTGTATATTAAAGAGAAACTAAGAGAGAACATATTCTTCAAAGTGTAACGCGTAATTTTCAATCCATTTGTTTTTGTGAAAGTGGGACGACGTCTCTTACCTCTCAAAGGTCTTAATCACTTTTTGTACATATGACGCAGACACCGCAATCTTTTGTTTTTAAAACAAACGATAGATAATGAAAGAAATTTAAAATAAAAGAGGTCAACGTAAGTGGAATACTCATGATAACAATGGACGTGGAAAAAAAATCAATAGGGAAATATTATCAAAACTTTTCATTTTAAAAACTTTTGTTGGGATGGTTTTATTTTTCTTCCCACCGCTAATTGCTTCTCCGCCACACACCTCCTTATGTTTAATTATTTATAATCATGAATCATGATATAGTGGTCCTCCTTCATCATGTCATATTAAAAACCAAAGATTGGTTCAAAACTCGATTTTTTTACTCGGTTATATTTCTTGTCCATGCTTCAAATGATTATTTTTTTTGTATATATTTGAACTTTGCTAACCACTCGTTCTTTTCTTCCACTAGATTATCTTTTCCTCGACTCAATGTCCATGGTAATAATTATTCAAATTAAAGCTTGATTTCTCTATAAAAAATATTATCGGATGTTTAAAATATAATTGGACTAAGAGAACTCATAACCAGAAATCTTGGAATTCGGACACCTGCGAGAAACTGATCCACAAAGTGATTTTTTGGGGTTTTAATGTTAAATCCTTAAAACTTGATATCAACAATATGTATATTGATTATCTTAGAGAGTAGATCGTATATCACTTTCTTTTTTATTTTCTTGTTTTTTTTTTTTGTTTTGGTTTAAATCATATATTACTTTCGGTTCGGACACATGTAGTCTGTTGTTGAAAGGAACAAATAAATACTTTCGGTTCAATTTTTGGAGAATAAAAACGATAATCCTGCATAAATAGTAGTATAAAAACATGGAAAATATTTCAAATAGAGACTCCTGTTTCCCACTATAAAAAGATGCACTGGAAATGTCGATGGATTATGGCCCGTAGGTTTTTCGTTGCTATAGATTCTTTTCTTTTATTGTAGTGAGCACAATTATATTCTCTACCTAAGTATATATAACAACGAAAATGTAAGGGAAAAGAAAGATTCGAGAAACGTTTAACGCGTACAAATGATAAATGAAAGTAGAAGAGAGCGTTAATACAACCATAATAATATTTAGAAAACCCCTAATTTTATCTCTGTAATTTGCCTTGAAAATATTGATTTTTTAATTTATAAGCTAAAAGAACAAACAATAGCCAACAATATATACTAATAGCTAGTATAATTTCTGTAAATTTCATTAAAAGCTAGAGCATATGAACTAGAGTTAGTGTCAAATTTATATTATTAATGAGACCATAAGCTATTTTGTAGGGCCAATATTGGTCAGAACAGGAATCAAAAAACAAGGTTTCGTTATAATATTTTGTTGGAGTTTAGGTGAATGAAAACCGTTATTATAATATTTGATTATAGAAAGGAATCAATCCATTAATTTGCATTAATACATATAAAAATGGACCTACATTAAAGAGAAGATATCTTATAGTAATAGACTGAAAAGGATATCTCTCTAGTGGAAAACAAGAAGATGAGAGACCATTCTTTTCATTTGAGAACCACATTCTCTTTCTCTTTCCACATTTGTATAAATAAACCCAAAGACATCTTCTCATTTGTCTCACATACAAACATCATCAACTCATCTTCTCCAAACAAGAATCATCAAAGCCAAAAAAACAAAACAGAAACACAACAGAGAATACAAACAAAAAGAGATGACAAAAGTTCACCCAAAATTCCCAAACACATGCGACGAGAGCTTGTGTGATAGTAAAGCAGCCGTGGTTTTAACAGTGTGGAAGAAGTCCCTTCTCTTCAACTGCGACGGATTCACGGTCTACAACGCCAATGGAGAGCTTGTCTTTAGGGTTGACAACTACATGAACTGTCCTAGAGACAACATCGTCCTTATGGATGCTTCCGGCTTTCCCCTCCTCTCTATCCGCCGCAAGGTACTTTTTCTTCTTCTTTTTTCGGTATTTTTTTCATTAATAGTTATGAAACTAATCTTGAGTATCCTTGCTTGTATTGACTTGAACAGAAGTTGAGTCTTGGAGATTGCTGGATGGTATACGATGGAGAAACAGAGAGAGACCCAATATTGACGGCGAGAAAGAACGTTAACATATTAACAAACCGGAGGAGCTTGGCGTGGGTTAGCGCGAAGAAGACGGTGTTGTACGAGATAGAAGGATCGTACAGTCAGAGAAGCTGCAAAATATTGGACGAGAGGAGGAACAAGAAGAAAACGGCGGAGATCAAGAGAAAAGAAACGGTGATCGGAGGAGTTGCCTTTGGCAAAGATGTGTTTAAGCTTATAGTTGAATCAGAGATGGAGCCTCGTGTGGCCATGGCACTTACCATCATCCTCGACCAAATGTTTAGATCTTCTTGATTTTCTTTTTTTTTAAGGTTTTATTTTTACGTGTATATTAGTTCCTTTTTGTTTATGTAATTTATGCGATGTGTTCCTTCCTAAATGTACACATGAACAACAGAGACAACTTTTAATGTTCAAGAAAAAAGAAAGAAAAAAAACATAGATATATATAACTTTTTTTTTCGTTTTGATTTTGGCCTTTGATGGTGCTACAAAGATGCAATCAATTTATCGATGGATTTTTTAGAGACGATTCAACAGTGACGGCTTGGTAAAGATGCTGATGATTAAGCCGGCTATATTTAATAATTGTCGGTCATGAGAGTTTGATGTCTAAGTTAACAAGAAAAATAAATGTCTAATTTTGTTACTATTTTATTGCTAACTTTTTAATAAATGTTTCGTTGCAAATTCTCTAACATACTATTTGCTAAAAAAGAGTTGTTTCTAAAGTTTATTGTGAACTAGTTAATCAATATCAAAATTTATGTCGAATGATATAGATTCTACACTGCACCTGAATTCTCCGTCTAGTTCTTAAACTGGATCTGGAGAATGGAATCGCCAAATCACGATTTAGTGTCTAAATCATAGTGAGATTTTACACCTAAACACACATAATCTATTTTCGCACCACGTTGGAAGCCCAAAATCATTTGTTGCGTTGAAATTTTGATCTGACAATATAAAATTTACACTAATAATATCTTTGCAATCTTTATGACAAAACATTGAAGTCAAGATCTTGATGGTAAGTAAAATGGACTATTAAGAATTTAGTGTAAAATACAAAATCGCATAATAAGATTTTTTGTTTGAAAATAATTTTATGCAATTAATAAAAATTTGAGACAAAAAAACAATTAAAACTAAAATTTAGCGCTAAAGTTAATTTTAAAACTTTAGTGTCAAATTGTGACTTTGAAATTTAAGCGCTAAAATGTGATTTGGCGGAAAAATTCCGAAATTAGGGTTTTGCGGCAAATTGCGAATTGTAATTTTATACCAAAATTGCGAACTGAAATTTTATGCTAAGGTTGCAAGGTTTCATAATCATACCTTTTTGTTTGGTCTTACCGTCTTAATTAAGGTTTCATACCAAATCCGTAAAACCGCATAATCATAGTGTTTTCAATGTTTGTGTCGAAATCGTTGTTTATTTATTTGGCTTCTTGGTTATATTAGATCAGAGAATTAACCCATCAAAAAGGCATAACCATTTCAAAAAATGATAGATCAGACACTTTTTTTTTTTTTTTTTTGAACAATGCTTCAGACACGATTAAAAAAATAATAATCGATCATAAAAACCTGATTTTTAGAAAAACCAATAATGTTGTAGATTCAGAAAAATATCATCATAAGCCAAACTTTATCATAGGCTTATGATATTTTTATTTTATGCTTAAGAAATTCAGATTGAAAAGTGAAAATTTTGCAGTTAGCCCATTGGAGCCTAAGCCTTGCTGCTGCAACAGTTGCAGTCTCTTCAGTGTTACGGATTCTTCTTCTTCTTCGGCCCTAAAAATCATCACTTTGGAATCAAAAGCAAAGCAAAAGCTTGAATGATGGAAGGAAGAAGAATCATAGCAAACCCTAGACCTTGTAGCGGTAGTAAAAGAGTTGTTGCTAAGAAGAGGTCTCGTCCCGACGGAATCGTCAATAGCGTTAAAAAGCTTCAACGCCGAGAAATCTCTTCTCGTATGGATCGAGCTTTCTCAATCAGCACCGCTCAAGAGAGATTCCGCAATATGCGTCTCGTGGTATGTATCAGACTCTCTCTTAAAGTCCTTAATTTGGCTCTCCAATTTCTGAAAGTTTTGATTTTGAATTCAGGAGCAATATGACACGCATGATCCTAAAGGATACTGTTTAGTATCATTACCTAACTTGTTGAAACGAAGCAAAGTTATTGAGATTGTTGCTGCTCGAGACATTGTCTTTGCTCTTACTCTATCTGGTGTTTGTGCTTCTTTTAGCAGAGGTACTAACTTTTTTAGCTTTTTTGCTTTGTGTGTCACTGTAATTTGATGGGTTTGTTTGTATGTAATTGCAGAGACGAATAAAAGGGTTTGCTTTTTAAATGTTAGTCCTGATGAAGTCATTCGGAGTTTGTTCTACAACAAGAACAATGATTCTCTCATTACTGTTTCTGTTTACGCCTCTGACAATTACAGCTCTTTGAAATGCAGATCCACTAGAATCGAGTATGTCTACTCTTGTGTTGTTGTGGCTTCTTAAGTTAGTTCTCAGACTTGTGAAAGTAATGTTTTGTGTATTGTTAGATATATTCTGAGGGGTCAAGCAGACGCAGGATTTCCTCTTTTTGAGTCTGAGTCACTAAAGTGGCCAGGTTTTGTAGAGTTTGATGATGTTAATGGGAAGGTGCTGACATATTCTGCACAGGATAGGTATTTTTCTTGTCTTCATTACTCAAAAGGTGTTGACTTGATGTTTCTCAACTGATCCACAGTCTTGCTCTGCAGTGTTTACAAGGTGTTTGATCTCAAAAACTATGCCTTGTTATACTCGGTATCAGACAAAAATGTACAGGAAATTAAGATCAGGTTGCTTTTCTACTACATCTTTCTATGTTGAAGTGTTCTTGATTGGACTGAAGACTTGTAACTCTAACTTGTGCATGTATTTTACGTGCACCAGTCCAGGGATAATGTTGTTGATTTTCAAGAGAGCTGTGAGTCATGTTCCTTTGAAGATTCTATCAATCGAAGATGGCACGGTTCTCAAGTCCTTCAATCATTTGCTTCACCGAAACAAGAAAGTTGATTTCATTGAACAATTCAATGAAAAGCTTCTAGTTAAGCAAGAGAACGAGAATCTCCAAATACTTGACGTGAGTGGTTTTGTTCTTAGTTCAAGCCACTTTATGTATTAGTGTTTTTTATGTTTCTAATAGAGTTTTATATGTTCTTAAAGGTTCGAAATGCTGAGCTGATAGAAGTTAGCAGAACTGAATTCATGACACCATCAGCATTCATATTTTTGTATGAGAACCAGTTGTTTCTAACATTCAGGAACCGAAATGTTTCTGTGTGGAATTTCCGCGGAGAGCTTGTGACCTCGTTTGAGGATCATCTTCTTTGGCATCCAGACTGTAACACAAACAATATCTACATAACAAGCGATCAGGATCTGATCATCTCATATTGCAAGGCAGATACTGAAGATCAGTGGATAGAAGGAAATGGTAAGCAGACTCATTATCCACTCTTCAAATCAAGAAACCTCATATAGAAATGGTCTGATTTTGTTGTGCTATTGAAACATTGTTGTGATTTTGGTTGTTGATGTAGCGGGGTCGATTAACATAAGCAATATCTTGACTGGTAAATGCTTAGCTAAGATAAAAGCAGATAATGGCCCTCCTAAGGAAGAAGACTGCAGCAGTAGTGATATGGGGAACTCCAATAGAAGGATAAGTGCGGTTGCTGAGGCTTTGGAAGACATAACCGCTCTCTTCTACGACGAAGAACGGAATGAAATATACACAGGAAACAGACACGGCTTTCTCCATGTCTGGTCTAATTGAAGCTACTCATCATTTGTTTTTTTAACATTAATTAGCTTTGGAGATCTCTGTATCTTGTTCTGTTTCTCAATTGTGTAATATCATGTGATCTGTAATTTACTTGTGTTTGAGCAGCAATTGTGGTTGTAATGAAGCAGCAAAGATTTCAAATTTGGGCTCCCATTTTTGTACACTAATATGATTTGTCTGCTAGCGAGAATGAACCATTTTTGCTTGATAGATTTGTATACATCAACAAATAAAATTGGCCACTTAAAGAAAAATCTCACTCTTGCTAAAAACATTTGCATTCTCTTCAATTGAACAAACAAGCTTTTTATTTTGTTATGTAATAAGAACAAATCTCTCTTAAGCACACAGCATAAGACACCAAGATGATGATGACAATAAATTTGAGCCATCAGCTTCAAAACTCCGAAAGAGAACTGAGATTTGTCAAGGCTGTCAAAGTAGGGATGATCGAGAGCTGCTTTTGCCGAAATTCTTTCTGTTGGATTGTACCTTAGCATTTGCTGCATTTTTTCAAAGGTTCCAAACGAATTATCATCAGCTAGGAACCACAACAGAAAGAATCTACTAAAGAGATCAAGTATGCAAGAGAATCTTTGGTTCATATTTTAGAAGAGCATTACCGTGAGAAGATCTCTTCCTTCAGGAGATAGAGATGGAACAGCACGTGAAAAGTCTTGCGGCTCCCACTTTGGATAGACATGCCAGTCACGCAATGCCATTACACCCGGCCATTGCTGCTCAGTTGGTGTTCCTAACAATCTCCAGAACCAAAACAAAACCATAATTAAGATATATTGATACTAGACAGTCTCCGTAATCTAAATGAGTTCACGAGAACTGAACCTAATGAGCTAAAGTCCTAAACTGGTTCCTGTATCACCCATCGATAATTCAGAATCCAAACATTGCTTTGTAGACTTTTCCATAGGTTCCTTCACCGACTTTTTCAAGCTTCACGTACTTCTCCATTGATTGAGAATTTGATTTGAGATTGTAGAAGATTGATGATGGTGATTGAGTTTGGGTCTTATAAACGCTAAGCCCCTATTCGATTTTAGATCTGGTAAAAATTAAGGCGCCTCTTTGCTTTAACGTTAACGTTTTTTTTCTCTCGTGTTTCCCGCTCCTTCAGGCTTTGAATCCCTCGCACGCTTCACACGTTTACCAATATTATTTTATTAGTCAAAAGTCATTTTAAATTTCATGAGTTTGAGTCTTTATGATATTGATATGGCTAAATTAATCTGTTTTTTTTTTTTATTATAAAAAAGAAACAGATATATAAGATTTTTGGTTAGAGTATGTTTAGAGAAGTTCAATGTGGGATTTATAGATTTCAATAGTATTCATGTTGAATGTTTAGTGGAACAATAGAATGGAACCTATGGCTATGCATATGAGTTCTTTGATGCAAATCCAGTTCTGGGTACAAAAAGCCAAGCTCATCTATCCTTGCAGCCGCAACCATATTAAAGTCCAAAGAGCCATGTTTGTTATGCTTCTATCTAAAGTCGTCTATGGATATGAGGGATGACAGAATGAATTTGGAAGTGAAGAACTGAAACATGTTTATTGATCATGCCGTGAAGCATATGATGAAAACTTATACTACTTAATTAAACACTAGAAAATACAAAATACAAAATAAAAAACAATACCATGAGATCTATGCTTCTACTTCTGAAGCTAATTTTAGTTATAAGTTTTTCAAAAAATAATAATTTAGTTATAAGGATTCAAACACCTAAAGAGCAATTACTTTATCAATAATTCTAGGTCTATGGTAGAATGTGCAAGTCATGCAATTTCACAAAGTCATAAAATCAGTTTATGTAATTTACATTAAGGGATTCTAAAATTTAGAATGGGTGAGGGAAAATAGTTGTAATGGAAATAGATAAAAGTGAAAAGGAAAAAACACGGTTAGAAGCAAAATTGTGTGTTTCATGTGGAAATTAAACAATGGCATTATTGTTTATTATTAAAAAAAAAAAAGTATTGGTCCACCAAAAAAGAAAAGAAAATTAGAATAATGAAAAAAGAAAACAAAAATAATATTGAATGATAGGGCATATTGACTAGGGAAAGAAAATGGTAGCCAAAAAATGAGTTAAAAGACTTTAAAGTTGATTGTGAACAACCGTTACTGATTTACTAGGGTCAATAAAAGTTATTAACACACCATTTTATCCATTTGTTTTTCTTCAAAAATACGAAATTAGTAAATTACTTTGTTTTATTGTGCGTTACATTAGAGTCTTGATCATGTAAAGGCCACTCAAATCATCATCACCACCCTACAAAAAAAAAAAAAAAAACTAGAACAAATTGCAGAAACACATTTATTGTTAATTATTAACAAAAATGTCGAGGCCAAAAAGACAGCTCTAACGAGCGATTGCATGGTTGACACGTGTACACTTTTAGCGGCGTTAAAAGATACGGTCTACGTAGTCACGCACACACCCCAAAGTTTCTCTCTACATTTTTCATTTTTTTTATTTATTTATTCATATACAGTATCAAACGGTGACGGTTGAATTATCACCAAAAAATAATCACTAAATATTTCAACCTTTGTAACAGAGAGATCCACTCTGTCACTTTAAACTTTTAGCTGATTTTTTCTGCCTGAAGTTAAATTAAAAATCTCATTTTTGTTTTCCATAATGATGTAAAGAAAATTAATTAAAGCAACAAAAAAGAGATTTTTCAGAGAGAAGAAAAAAAATAATAATAAGAAGGAAAAAAAAAGTCTGGCGTCTTTCCTGCAGAAATCACATTTGGTGTCTGCTGGCTTTGGTCTTTCTCTTTCTCTCTCTCTCTCTCTACTTTTTTGGTTCTGCGATTCCATCAAAACCCTTTTCCCAACAATCTTGGTTTGGGCTAGAGAAGAAGAAAGCACAAGACCCATGTCTGGTTTATACAACAACTCCTCTTACTTCTCTCCTGCTCGAGCTGCTTCTCCTCAGATTAGAAGCACTCCTGAGATCGACAGGTTTGTTTGTTTGTTCCAATCCTCTGATGGTTTCGAGACACTCTTTTATTTGGTTTTTATGTGAAAACCGATCTGTTTCTTTCGTTTCTTGCTTGAACAGTTCTCAGTACTTGACGGAGCTTCTCGCAGAACATCAAAAGCTTACTCCTTTTATGCAGGTCCTACCTATATGTAGCCGTCTATTGAATCAAGGTTCGTCCTTTTTTGAGATTTTGATTCTGATTCGAATCTGTTAAAGTGTGTGTATATACCCTTTATGTTTTCACCAGATTGGGATGACTTTAAGTCCTTACATTTCTTTCTTTTTTCTCAGCCAATTTTCTTACAAAATGTTCAATTTTAGTTAATTCAATTAGTCCAAGAGAGTGAGATCAAGTTCATTGATTTGATTTCTTCAATTTGTCTGATTGAATCCAGCATTACCTACTTTAGTACTGGCCTTTAGTGTCCATTGCATAATATGAATCTTTCTTGATTTGCAGAGATGTTCAGGGTATCTGGAATGATGTCTAACCAAGGATTTGGTGATTTTGATAGACTTCGACACAGAAGTCCCAGCCCTATGGCTTCTTCTAATCTTATGTCTAATGTCTCTAATACCGGGTTAGGTGGCTGGAACGGCCTCTCTCAGGAGGTATCATCATCTCGACCAACCTCTTTCATAGCACTAAGTAATCAGTTTACCTGAATTCTTCAGTGACACAGTTGTATAGTTGGTGATCTGTTTTATGCCATGTTCTAATGTTGTGTAGAGTTCTTAGTTTTTTTGTTAGAGTACTAGAATCATTAATTTTAGCTTATGGCTTTTGCAATACTGATTGATATTACCAGTACTTCTGCTAAGCATGATGAGATAAGCTAAAACACTCAGTTTCTTGCAGAGACTTAGTGGAACACCTGGAATGACAATGGATTGGCAAGGTGCTCCTGGAAGCCCCAGTTCATACACTGTCAAAAGGATATTGCGTCTGGAGATTCCTGTAGATAACTATCCTAATGTGAGTACTCAGGTTTTCTAGTCGCTTTTATGTGTTTACTCATCATTTGCTCCATAGTTTATGATGATATTTCTCAACTTTCCATTCTTATTTCCTCTGTTTTATCAGTTCAATTTTGTTGGACGACTTCTCGGCCCTAGAGGCAACTCGTTAAAACGCGTTGAAGCTACCACGGGGTGTCGTGTATTCATCAGAGGGAAAGGGTCAATCAAGGATCCCGAAAAGGTGAGATCCATGAACCATTTGGGACTTTGTCAAACACTTCCACAGTTTAACCTACTGGTTGGCTCCGAGATGATGTTCTGCTAATTAAAAGAGTATTGAATAACATGTTGTATGATTGTGTATTTGGATGATACAATGTAGGAAGATAAACTAAGGGGAAGACCGGGCTATGAACACCTGAATGAGCAGCTCCACATCTTAATAGAGGCAGATCTTCCAGCAAGTATTGTGGAGATACGTCTGCGACAAGCTCAAGAAATTATAGAAGAGTTACTAAAGCCTGTGGTAACACACATTTTCCTCCTCCAATACTTTCAATCATTTTTTCTGTGATATGTTTTGGTTATCAGTACAAGGCATTAAGAGAATAGTCTCGTCTTCCTTGGAGGGTATTAAATTGAAAGGACACGTTTTTATTTTAGGTTCTTCCGTAGCTGTTTTGCCCCATTGAGACTCTATAGTTATTACCTGTAGGGCCTCTATTCTTTGTCTTAGCGTTCGTATTTCAGTACCATTTTTTGGAGTTTGTGGCTAGTGTTCAATTATGCAGACATGTGTGACCACTACACCAGTCAAAGTAGCAATTGGTGTAATCGCAAACGCCAAAAAATAAGCCATCATTTTTTCAAACACTTCATTGTTATGTCTTTGATATATTCTTTGTTATCAAACGGAAAAGCATATTATGAAAATTTGTATCTCAGTAACATAACATTTTTTCTTTGTTTGTAATAATGAAGGACGAATCGCAAGATTTCATAAAGAGACAGCAGCTGAGGGAACTGGCATTGCTAAACTCGAACAACCTGAGGGAAGAGAGTCCGGGGCCAAGTGGCGGTGGAAGCGTTTCGCCTTTCAATTCAAGTGGTAAACGCCCGAAAACAGGATGCTAAGCAGCGTTTTGTTTGTCTCGCCCAAAACGCTCCTTTAAGCCTTAAAATGGTTTCTTCAACCAAAAGTACATGTCTGCATGCATTACACAGACGCACATGTGTATATCTGGTTTCTCCAGTAGTGGCTGCAATGGTGGTGGTCTGGTCAAGGCCTGCCCTGGTCTCTCTCGGGTGAGCGACCCTGTGGCTTTCGTTTTTCTTCTTCTTTATTTTCATTTTTGTTTTTTTTCCTCATCAGAAATTCATTACAGATTATTAAAAAATATTCATGCAAAAAAAAAAAAAAATTAAGGAAAAAAGGTATGAGATATATATAATATATAGGGAGAAAAAGATGTTGATGCCTTGGGAGGGTAAAGGCTAAAGGGCGTGGACTGAAATTCTTATTGTAAAAACATAAACGAAAAAACACATTTATTGGATTGATTCTTATTGTTTGATTTTTGATACTTTTATGTAAAAGTTTGGTTTATTTTGTTCTTTCAAACATTCTATTTTTTGCCTAGCCCAATGGATATAATGCATATTCAAAAGTCTTTGTGAAGAAATTGCATCATTGAACTTATGAACCATATTTACTTATTCCTTTGATTTGAGATTCATTGGTGATAGTTACTTTCATCCATTTTTGGGATTTTATGGGCTTGTCTCTTCAGTTTGGGTGGTAAGGGCTTCTTGGTTTTGGATGGGACTAGGAGAAACTAACTTCTTAACACAGAACTTAAGTTGAGACATACCCTTTGTGTATGTTGTACATGTATTTGATAGGTAGAAAATGGTTATAGTAAAATTCGGGATTAGGGAACGAAGTACATAGGATTAGGAATCTTGAAGGTACGATCCCCTGTATATTCTCCTTGTAAGTCACTCCATTGGTCGCCTACATTTCCCCATATCCTGTAACCTTCTTCCATCATTTCCTTTCTGACTCTTGTTTTGTATGTTGTTGCGCTTTGTCTTTTGTTATCTGCTGTCCTGCAAGTTATACGTAGTATATTTGTCCTCATTGACTGTGACTTAGTCTTGGTAAAACAACTTTAGAATAAGTATGCTTCTTCATTTTACCTCATAATCAACCTTTCATAACCAGTGAATCCTTGGTTATGCAAATTCTCTACTGTTGCCTGACGAAGGGTCTCTTCGTCTCTTCCGGTTATTAGGAAAACTTTGAAGCCTGTTTCTATCAGTTTATTGAACAATTCAAGAACAGGTTGTATTGCTGGAGACTCTCCTTTCATCGCCCATGTTCTAAATCCGGTTGGATCATAAGGGTCACATCTACATGTTAACACATCATTAGCCACAATATTCTAATTTTTGGTATCCAAAAAGCAGAACATGTTAAAATTAGTTTTAGTACGAAGAAACAAGTGTGTACCGGTGTACGTACCCATATCTCTTAAGGCGATAGTAAAAGACATTTGAGAAGCAAGTATCATCAACATCCAAGATCCATGCGTCCATGCCATCACCAGGGAGGGTTATCTCATTGAGATAAACCCTTATTTGGTCCACAGTCAACTGGACGTCTCTGTCATACTGACCAGCAAGCATATATACCTCAACGTAATGCAGACACTGCAGAGGAACAATGCGCCACGCACGTACATTGTTGGTCTCTACTGCTAGTCTCCAGCTTAAGCAATAACTAGTACCATAATTTCCGTCCATCGGCATCCATGGACTTGTGCCGCTTGCCACTGATGATATTGTTAGGAAAATGAGAAGCAACGTCTCTCTCCTACACTTTTCCATCATTGCTCTTGATTCTTCTGCTTTCTCTAGCTACCCTTGAGGGTTTCATGCAAAATATAGGTAAATATCATGATTAGAGAGTAAGCAAATTTTGTTTGTTTTCTTTTTGTGCAAAGAGCTAAAAAATTTAAGAAAAGAAAATGAAACCTTTACTTTCATTTACACCATTGCCTAACACTTTGTTTTATTAGATTATTTCAAAACAGAACCAACGCCAAAGAACATAAACGAAAGAAAAGTAGTTGACACAAAGAGAGTTTGGTTGTATTGAGTCAATGGTGATACCAAGAAGACTGCTAAGAAGAGAATGTAGTGACGATGCTTGAAAAGTGAAGATCGGAGTAAAAATACCTATTATGTGGTGGCTGCAGGGATCAGCTTAATTAGTAATGTAGTCGTGTTATAGATTAGTATTTAAAGAGTTTTGGTTCGGTAGAAGATTCTGGATGAGGTTTCATCCACTAAGTAGCACCATTTTTACGACCAATTAACTTAATAATTATGAGGTAAGCAAAAGTATTATATATAAAAATTCATGAAATGGGGTCAAAACCAGCACCGAACATATTCACTAACACAGACCAGCACTGAACACATTCACGTATAATCCTTTACTATCTCTAATAATACATCATTGGCATTTACTAAGTGGCGCATATGATATCTTTTAGTTAGTATATAACACTTAAGTGGATGATCTCACTAGTTTTTTTCTCACATATAATATAAAATATATCTATATTGATGATACACCCACGCTTAAAAGCAATTTCCATGGTACAATAATCTACCCAAGTTTTAGGGTTTCACTCGAGAGCCATGCTATTTATTAATGATCATCTAGTATTGGTTCAACTAGTTACATGTGTAAGTGTCTCCCACAATACACAAAAGGATAAACGTATAGTTTCTTAGCTACGAGGGCCTTATTGCTAATTATCAAGAAATTAGTGGGATTGGGCACAAATTTGTCAAACCAACAAAAAAATGGACCGACCAAACTACATACATATATGGATTGGATGCTGACAAGGAATGTTTGTCAACATAAAAGTGGATGACACGTACGTACTAGTCTAATGGAAACTAAGAGTTGTCAACGATACTAAAGTGGCAATTCCGTTAAGAGTTGCTTTGCTTTAATCATTAAAAACTTAAAAACAATACTTCAGCTAAAAGTCTAAAACATTCCCATTAAGCACACTAACCAATTATCTCATCTCATTAACACTCCTTTAGATATTTTTTTCATGTTCTCCTGTCCCTTTGAATTTTCACAGATTTGAATGCCACTCGCAACACTTTCTTCTTCTATCTCTTTACAAAAAAAAGTTTATTGTGTGAGACAATGTTTAAGAAAATGCTTTGTGCGACAGATTGTAGTTCAAAAATCCATTGACGTACATGCCAAAAACAAAGTAATTGATAAAATAAATAGAAGTTTTGTAACATAATAAATTATATATTGAAGCAAACTCATCCCAAACTACTTAAAGAGGTATGGTTTTTGGTCAACGGATTCCCAAACTAATGCAAGTTGGATTTGGAAATTCATTTTGGGTCTGAGGCCTATGGCAAAGGCTCTTATATATGGGTTGCAAACTTGGTGACGGTCGTACGGCTAGCTTTTGGTTTGATAATTGGTCTTCTCTTGGGATCATTTTGGAACTTCTGGACCGTGTCGTCTAGGCATTCCTCTTCATTCCACTGTAGCAGATGTTTGCGGTAATCTTGGTTGGATCCTTCCCTCTGCTAGGTCAAGGAATCCAAGCGTTATTGATCTCCGAAACCAGCTAATTGCCACTCCTCCTCCTTGTATCTCAAGGGGTCCTTACTGCTTCACTTGGGGTTTGCCTAACCAGCGGAAACCTTTTTTCTCTACTAAGACCACTTGGAACTTCTTTAGGCCTTCTCAGATCAGGAAATTTTGGTATCCGGCTGTGTGGTTCAAGAGCTCTGTGCCTAAGCAAGCTTTCACCTTTTGGATCGCAACTCTTGATAGACTTCCTGTTCGTGCAAGACTCGCTAGTTGGGGTTTAAACACTACTTCTCTCTGCTGCCTCTGTAATTTGCAAGAAGAATCCAGAGATCACCTACTGCTTCATTGCTCTTTTTCTGAACAGGTTTGGTTCCTTGTCCTCCATAGACTAGGAGTCTAGGACAACCCACTTGTTCCTCTGTCTCTACAACCCTGAAGCGTATTTGTACTCAGGCTACTGTTTACCTTCTATGGCGCGAGAGAAATAATTATTTGCATAATTCAGTTTCTTGTTCAGTCCCTATGGTCTTTGCCCAGATTGACAGGAATGTTAAAGACACTCTCCTTTCTCGTAGATACCGGAAAGGCTGCGGAAGACTTTTGTCCCAATGGTTTGCTCGTATTTAACTCTTCTCTGTTTTGGTAATATGTGTTTCAATATGGCTTTTTAATTTTTTTGGGCCGTTGAAGCTTTCTGCCTGTTTGGCTGTGTAATTAACTCTTTCCTTTTCAAGGTAATATATATTCACAGATTATCCAAAAAAAAAAAACTCATCCCTTTCACTTCTACCTCCTCCTGCATATTGCTTCTAGAAGAAGTCTAGCTTTTTAAATGCTTCAAGTCTCAACATGTTTTGGTCAAATAGACGCTTTTCAAAGCTGCTTTGTCTTTTCCTTTTCCCTCGTGCAGGTTTCTTGATTTGGACCAAACTTGGAACATAAAAACACACATTTGGCCGACATTTTCTGTCTACATGTACTTTGATATCCATCCTCTCCAATGATGATAAATGTTTTGCGATAGAACTCTTCTTCAAAACCCATGGCAATTTTCTTCTCCTCGTCAATGAAGAAACCGTCGCATATATGTGGAACGTCTATCCTAGGTCGTTTCCATTCTCAAGAACATGCTCCACGACACCATTTCAGCATCAATCTTAGTCGTAATCCATATATCAAACTCATTCCAATCTGATTCGTAATGCTGAAATAAAGCTGCAAAGCTTCTCTTCTTTAACACAAGATAAAGTTACAATTTCATACTCATGATCCATATATAAGGCTAGACGGCAAAGGCAAAAGCGGCCCAAATCTCTCTCTTGTAAAATCAAAACATATGATGTTATCGACAATATCGTCTTCTGCGTTCCTTTTTTTAGCACACCAGTAAGTGTTTCCGTTGAGAGAAACACCACAGTCACCACAGCTTATACACCAGTGTGGAGTAACATCAAGAGTTGTCCATGAATCAAATTTAAAATCGTAAATTTCATACCAAAAAAATTATTTTTTGGGTGCTCCTCGGAAATAATCTATATATTATCCGAGGTGCGGATTCCAAAAGACAACCCTTGTATCGTCTTCTTTCAAGATGCATAACAATAAACCCTCACAGTGAAAGACTTGAGATATCTTGACTTGTTCATCAAGGAAACAAGGTTTACGTTTAAACGCTATAGATTCTTTTTTCTTTCTTCTTTTTCTTTTCTTTTTAAACGCTTTAGATGGATCAACGTCGTCAACTACGACCCTCATCAAATAAAGATCGAAATTCATCATAGCGATCATCATGGACTCCTCTTCTCTTGTTGCTGTTTTACTAATGTACAACTTCAGAAAGCTCCTACTTTTGGATAGAGTGTTCCAACTTTTGCAAGTTAATCTCACTGCTCTCAAAGATTTCAAAGGAACCCTAACAAAAATCTCCTCTATCAAAACCGTCGGAAGATTAGAGATCATGGTCGTCATTGTTTCAAATTGCAACAATGGTTTTGTTTTTTCTTTCTCTGATATCATGCGGCAAAGGGAAATGATAGTATACCAACACACACCAATTGAAGACACAAAAACCCTAAATAAAGCTAAGCCAATCGTGGGCTTTAGAATCTAGTTAGGCTTTTAACGATGTTATGTTTTCCATGGCTTCACTTTTACCTTCCTACTTTGAAGAAAAATAATCTGGACCAGCTTATTTCCTTTGACCTTTGCATGTACATCTCTCGCACCTAGCTATTAACTATACTGAAGAGTTGGAATTTACCGAAGATTGGATATAGTCTTAGTTACGTTATTTAAGATCATTGAGTTTGTTGCATACATCAGTCTTGTCTTTGCTCAAGTACTTAAGATTTATGTTTCAACTTTCAAGATTTTCTGAAAAAGGAGAACAAAGCAACAGTAATCAACATCATCATCATCAATTCGTTATCCTATCAAAAAAATTACAATAAACATTTGTGTACTGTAAATGTTGTGCAGAGCTAATCAATGATTCTCAGAGTATCTAGGTAAGGTCCCTTTAGATTATAAAAGAGAGAGGGAGACAGATAGATTTGATGATGCATCTTCTCTGCCTCCAATGTATTGTTGAGTTTTACCAAAAAACTATTTCTTTGCCGCCAAATCTGCACCACTCACGTATCTTGCTACAAACGAGACGAGCCTGAACGGAGCACCAATAAGTGGAGCGTCCGCCAGAGGCACACCAGCACTTACTTCGTCTTCTCCAGCTACTACAACCTGTGATTCCACGTCTACTTCCCCATTCGCGTTCAGAGAGAGCGGCACCGTTTCTTCTATTTCGCCTTCTGACAAGTTTCTCTTTATCAATGCAGTATCCATGTCCTTAGAGTTATCAATTCTAATCAACTCGTCGTGTATGGGTATTTCTTCTAAGGATTCAGACTTCTCTACTTCAATTGCTAGGCTCTCAGGGGAAGCATGCTGCGACTGGTTTAGCTTAATACACAGCTCGTTCACCTGATAATAATAACCAGTAAGATTTTCAATCATCCCAAAACAAAGTTACTCAGTAAGATCTATAGTAGTACAACTTACCTTTTCAACAAGTTCAGCATTTTCAGTGATAAGCTTTTCCACTAGAGTACAAGCTGCTTCAATCTGAGAGTTTAATTCTTCCTCAGAAGCACCCTATAATATATCAACCATCACAAACCGTTTCATGCATTTCTGAGGTTCTTGCATATTGGAAGTATTCAAAGTCTAACCTTTGCGTTACTATCATGGTTTTCATGCTGGACTTGAAGACTGGATACAGTTTCCTTAAGACTCTGATTCTGCTCTAGAAGATTACTCTTAGATTCTTCCAACTCCGTAACCTGCCAAACTTTGTTTTAATCTTCATATCAGACTAAATCTATGCAGTATTATGCGTAGTAGCTTCCTGTTTTACACGAGTAAATCACTAAACATTCACTTAGGAGGCTACAGTGACGTGTTCAGATGCAATTTCGTAAACTATCCTTGGAAATGAGAAAACCAAATTAAGTTTAATGAGACACATACCTGTGCTCGTAGCCTTGCAATTTCATTGTTCAGGCTAGATATCATTTCTCTGGATGACTTCTGCAGGATTAAATGTGTATGATGAGTAAAACATGCCCATCTTATTCTAACTCTTAGGAGACTCAACTTAAAATGAGTACCAAGATTTTTATAGTGTAAGATAGAGTTACCTCCTCAGCCACCAAGGATTCTTCATCATGTTGAAGTTGTTGAACTTTCTTTTCTAGACTCACCTGATTGAAATCATGCAATTTTTACAAAGATTATTCAACGAGAATGCATTATAACAGAAGAAGATGGAACTCTTATCTCTAATGAATGGAGACATACCTCTTTCTGAGTGAAGGTAGATCTTTCATCTAGCAATTGTCTCATTTGGGCTTCTGTACTAGACTGTCAAATTTCTATAAATGTCAGAACTACACAGCATCTTCAGGCATATGAAATGTAATGTAACATCTATAGCGATCTGATATGTCCTGACAACATGACTTTCTTTCACGTAAGCTAAGACCAAGTCCTAGTCTAGAATGCTAAATACCGGTAGTAGGTCCTAATCTACATACTGGGGAGATAATTAGGAAACAAACCAAGTTGAACAGATAAAAGGAACGTTCATATGATCACACAAAGGAGAAACTGTAGTACTAAAAAAATGATCCCACTGTGAAGATCTCTCACCATTTCGCGAAGAAGCATGTCGTTCTTGTTTTTATACTGCACAAGTCTTTCCTCCAACTTTTCCTGCATAAATACAATGTTATTTTGACCTCCAACTTCTAGATGATCCTAAAAAAATAAGAAAGCTATGGATACGGCTTTATGCAATTTTCTTCACTAACTTCGTTTTGTTTGTGAGCTTCATTTTCAGATCTCAAATGTAAGAGCCTTTCTTCCAACCGTGCCTGTGAAACACCATGTAATTTTGACCTTCAGCTTGCAGATAATGCAGCAAAATAGTAAAGTTAGGGGTATGGCTTTATGCTATTTCTTCACTAACCTCATTTTGTATGTGATCTTCATTCTCTGTTCTCAAATGCAAGAGCTTTTCTTCTAACAATGCCTGTAATACACCATGTAATTTTGACCTTCAGCTTGCAGATAATGCAGCAAAATAGTAAAGTTAGGGATAGGGCTTTATGCTATTTGTTCACTAACCTCATTTTGTGTGTGAGCTTCATTCTCTGTTCTCAAATGCAAGAGCTTTTCTTCTAACAGTGCCTGTAATACATAATGTTATTTTGACCTTTAGCTTGCAGATAATGCAGCAAAATAGTAAAGTTATGGATACGGCCTCATTATTTATGTTATTTCTTCACCAACCTCATTTTGTATGTGAGCTTCATTCTCTGTTTTCAAATGCACAAGCCTTTCTTCTAAAAATGCCTGTGAAACACCATATTATTTTTATTTTTCAGCTTGCAGATGAAGAAGGAAACAGCAAAGTAATGAAAAAGGCTTTAATCTAATCTTCACTAGCCTCTTTCTGAATGTGAGCTTCATTCTCGGTTTCCAAGCGTCTAACATTTTCTTCAAAACCAGCCTATCAAGACAAGGAATTCATTCTTTACTATTCAACTGTGGAAAGAAATCATGACTAGATGGAGAGATTATCTTTATGATAAAAAAATGTTTGAGAAGAGAATATCACCTCTTTCTGAAGGTAGGAACCATTTTCCTCACGTAACTGTTTGATTGTTTCTTCCAACAGCACCTACAACAGCATTACAAACTAGTATTGAGATCCAAGTGAAAAGATAGAAAAAAAACAGACTCTTCATGGCAGTAAGGAAGAAAATTTGTCGATATTTCACTCAGGAAAGATGAAATATACTACTGTTAACTAAAAATTTATCAACCAATTTATATAGATAGAAATGATAAGTTTTCTTTCTGCATACAACAACATAGTTTTGTTGTTCTTCTTTAACCTTTCTCTTCTTTATTAGCCTATCTCAAATTCCAAAGAACAATTATCTACTCTGCATACACCAAAAAAAAAAAGAATGTACATACAAGACACAGTAGGAAATCTCACCTCACTTCCCTGAGACTTGTTCTCAACACCAGAATCATCTTCCTGCTTGAAACAAGAAGATTTAAGAGTATCAGACAACGACGGCTCATACACTATCCCATAGTTTTTGTCAACCATCTCTACACAAACCAAATGAACTCTCTACACATCAGTTACAATAAAGTAAACACACACATAGTAAAAGGATCTGTTCCAGCAGATGAATCGAAATTTCATTTAATCAAATCATACAATGTGGCATAAATATGTCAACAAAATCCTACTGCATTGACATATAAACTACGAAATGAATCAAATTTACCCCAATGTCCTATCATCAATCCAATGCAGCAATGTTCCAATCGATCGTCAGAGATATAAAGAACTCACAGTTGCGACGACATTGATCTGATGAGATGATTGCGACTCATCGACATCTGGACGTTCGCTAATTTGAGGAACGTCACCATCTCCGATATGATTTTCATCAGCGAAGGTCGTTGCACCGGAAGCTATAGCGTCGTCAACACGTTTATTATTCGGCTTATTCTTCTTTTTCTTGTTTCTCTTCTTCTTCTTGTCGTCTTCCATACCTACCTGATCCAGCTTCCAAACGTATCAGTTTTGGATTCAAAACAAAACCAAAAAAAAATCCAAACTTTATCTCATCCAAACTAGCAAAATCGATGATAACGAAGTCAGATCTGAATGATTTGAGGAATAACAAGAAATCAAATTGGAAGGCAAAAAAGAGAAATGCGTGATTGGTAAGCTCACTTTACGATGGTGAAAGAGGTCGCCGAACGGGAAACGTTTAGTCCTTTCTTTTAGTCGGACGTCTTCCCCAACCAGCAGCGAACAATTGTATTAAAAGAGTCTCCTTTTTTTTTTTTTTGTTCTTTCTCTCACTTTAATGAGACTTTAGAAGAAAAAAAAAAAAAAACATCTTTAGATATGTGCAATTGCTCATCTTCCTTCGTCTCCCTTGCTCTTCCCGTCCTCAATGCTCGACTGGTGAAACCCAATTCAGTAAATTGTAGATGGAGGCTCAGACGGATTCAACATTCGATCTTAAATTGCTCTTGGAGGAGTCACGACGTCTCAATCCATCAAATTGATACTTCATCAAGAGGAGCTCAATGTTATTTTGATTCGAATAACTCTGCCTTTCTCGGGCAATCGAGCAATAGAATCGTCTTTTGTTTGAGTTCATCATCACTACCTAATGAAGAAGATGTAGTGCATCAAACAGTGGAAAGTGATAGTGCAGAGTTACCTGGAGAAAGTTATTTGATTCGACTAGTAGGTGATAATGATCTTACTAACACTGGCTCTAAAGGATTCAAACAGACGATGACAAGATCGAATCTTGTTGCTAAGCAAGTTATTAGTATACAATCAGCTCTGAGTTTAGGATTTATCTCTCAGCTTTGGGTTGACACTTCTTCCGTAAGTTCTTCTTGATTCAATCACACCTTTCATTACTAGCGAGTTTCAAGTCTGTTCTTTTACCAGACTGTTTTAGTGCAATGAGCTCCATCATTCTGAAATTTTTGTTTCTCGATTTACAGTGGTTGGTTTTGGTGGTTGATGTTAAACCAAGCTTGTTATCTGGAGAATATGAGAGATTTCTGCTCAAAGACATTGTCCGGGTACTGCTATGTTTGGTTTCTCCTATGTTGAAAGTGGTTTCATTTGGAAATGTGTTTACTTACATCTTAGGGTTTATATTAAGATCTCTGTAGGTAGGTGATGTTGTGCTTGTTGATAATGAGACTGTATTGGATACTGAATTCAAGATGGTTGGACTTGAAACACTGGTATATAATAGTCTCTTTGTGCGTTGTTTTGTGAATCACCCACCTTTAAGCAAGTCTAAGATTGAATTCTCATCTTTTGTTTAGGTAGGTTACAGAGTAGTGACACCAGGACGGCGAAACATTGGAAAGGTGTTTATAAGATCTTCTTCAGTAATAATATCTGTCTATTTGCCTTTATCTTGCTATTAGCTGAAAGCACATGATTGGTTTTAGGTTCGAGGTTACTCATTTAACATTAACTCGGGAATAGTTGAATCGCTTGAGCTTGATTCTTTCGGGGTAACTATCATACCATCAAGCCTGGTGGGTAACTTGAATCCCTTTTTCTAAATAAATTGGAATTGGTTTTTGTGAGATACAAAGCACAAGCATTCAATCTAGGAATAGCTCAATGTTATGATTAGTTACCTGGTATGTAATAATGCAGGTGAGTACATACAGGTTAGATGTCGAGGACATAATCGAGGTCTTACAAGATATAGTTGTGGTTCATGAGGATGCAGCTTCTAGAAAACAGAGGTTGACTAAGGTAGGTATATATGTCTAGACCTAGTAATGGCATGCCTTGAGATTTTCATGTAGTCGTGAATGGATTATTGAAGAAAGACTTTTGAATACAGGGACTTTGGGATGGTCAGTTTGATAGTGAATACTCTGATGTTGAAGAGCTTGAAAGTTCATCTGATAGGAGACGGCGAAGGAGAAACAATAGATTCAATCGAAAGAAGAGAGATTTGGATGATGAAGAATGGGACATATTCCGCTAGAAGTCATGCATCCATTGTTTGTCATACATCTTGACATATATCTTCGGCTGTATCTGATAGAGAAAATGAAACAAAAACATTACTTGCTCAAATAAATTTTCGAGATCACTATGCGAAAATGGTCTAATGCAATGAAATACAGACTTGTCTATTCCCCAATATTCTCTGTTTTCAACAGTCTTCTTACTTTGCAGTGGAATCGGATCAGAATCAGTTTCAGTTAATGATAGTTTTCGATCAATATCACATACATAAGGCTGTGAAGGTTCAGCCGTTCAAGATGATAAAAAATGGAAGACAAAAAAACATAATTCTGAAACTAAATAAACTTCAAAACTTGGTAAAATCTGCAAGAAAGTTGAGTTGACAGTTTGGAAGAAGAGAAGCAAAAGAAATAAGAGCTACAAACACCTAAATTAGTAAATACCCCTACTTACTAATCTCTAAGACATTGAATGATATCCTTAAAACAAACATCGGAGCCGGAACATTCACGGAATGATGGCAAATGGACATGAAGCTCCTGATTAATCAATCAGAGCCTCTATGTCTTAACATGGTCTCATGAAATACAAAGACACACAGAGATCTCCTTAACAGAACTTCCAGTGGTTGTCACAGTTAACACATGTAACATAGGTCGTCATTGGCTCATCAGCACTTCTTGTTTGCATCTGATAGTAGGTGCATTTGCGTTGACCACACCGCCCGCACTTGAACTGGTCGGTAGATGCTTTTGCTGCAAGACCACGCTCGCAATCAAACAGGGCTTTCTCTTTGATCTGATTGTTCTCTTGTTTCCTCTTGTCGCTTGCCATTTCTTCAGCAGACAATGTGATGAGTTTCTCTGGTGAAATCTCCCCGGTGAGAACCCTCCTTCTTAAGTCCGGGTTGTTACCGTCCCTCAGGTTGAACATTATAGATCTGTACTTAAGCTTCTGAGCTCCAGTTGAGCGACCCAATTTCTCAAACATCAGTGATTCCACTGAGACAGCAACACGGAGTGGATCACTAGCATTTACTGACTTTCTCTCATAGTCATCAGCTTCTCCAGCAACCCTGCACAACGCATCTACAAGCAACTCACGGATTTTGTCACGCACAGGATCATTGCATTTGAGCATTGCAGTTAGTTTTGGAGGAGCATTAGGTGCCTTAGCTGGAGCTTTCATACTTGATTGGTTGTCCTTTGAGACCTTTTCATCCTTAACAGCCTGACCACGATAATCTATCTTGGTTCCATTAGTGACTTTGTTGTCTAGTTCCTTTCTCTCTATCTTGACACCAGTAACGCCTTTATTGTCTGGTTCCTTTCTCTCAACCTTGATACTCTTAGCCGAATCACCCCTCTGAAGTTTCTGGACTTTAACAGGAGCAGGATTTGAAGGCTTATCAACATCCATCTTATTCACCTTAGCCTCTTTGACAGTTTCAGCTTTACAACCGTTAGTGCCTTCGGTTTTCTTAGCCTTGGCTGTCTCTCCAATGACAACTTTCTTCCATATCTCAAGCAAATCAGTAGCTACGCTTTTGATCTCCTCAATAGGGTGTTTTGCAAGAGACCTCAGCTTTTTTCCCACCTGGAAACAAGAAAAGAATATAACTTTCCCTAAAGCAATACACACATTATCAACATTCCAGAGGAAACACTTGAATACAATTTCCCAACCAAAAAAAAAAAAAAACGCATGACTTGATTCATTGATGACCCTCAAGTAAAACAAATCAAGTGCCAAATTGGGTTTGTTTCCCTTAACCCTAGCATGTCAAGCTGAGTTCAATGTCCAAATTGGGTTTGTTTCAATAATTTCAACGGGGCGTCTCATACAAATCAGTTAGCTCAAGCTTTTTAAAGTTAAATCTTTTTAAATTTATGTGAACTTTTTCCGATGAAATCAAATAACCCTAATTAAGAATCTAAGGTCAACAACACAAGTCAATGCAACGAGATTAAGCAAGCAACACCCAGAAAAACCCTCCAATCTAACAACGTATCAACAGAAAAAGAGAAATATATAAACTTTAACCTAAATGCAAAATAATCAAATCTTTTTAGGGTTACGAGATAATCAGAAACGCACCTGAGTCGCAACGAGCGTATCGTATGTGACAGGAAACTTCTTGAGCTGTTTAAGGGCATCGAGACATTGAGAAACCTCAGGACCTGAGGAAGCAACACCGTCGAGAGCCGCCGCATCGGCTGCCTTCTTAGCTCCCTCGAACAATCCAATCAAATCACTTTCCATCGTCCCTCAAATCCCTAGCTCCAAGAACAAAGCACCAACACCGACAGATCCAAGACGACTCAGAACAAAAACAATCCAACAAAATCTCTCAAGAATGGAGAAAAAGGATAATAATCGGCGGAACCTCGTTTGAGTCGCGACGAACAAGATAGAGATTACGGACTGAAACTGTCTTCTTATTTTATTTTATACGACCGAGACAAAAGCGATCAACGGTTTCAGTTAAAACCTTGCAGAATCAACGGTTTCGATCACGTGGCTAGGTCTATGTACTAGATTCACGCTTGCTTCTGCTCTTTCTCCTTATCCCGATATTACTGCATCAACCTTGGGCCCAACAGGCCCTTATTGGGCCAACTTTGATGAATCAGGGGATACGATTTTGACAAACAAAATAAAATTCTCGCTTTTACTTTTTGTTGATATTATCGTAAAATGACTCACTAATCACTAATCCAAATACAACGGAAATTAGAAGATGATTGATCTCAAAAATTGTACACAACTAAAAGAGACATCAAAAGAGTTTGGATATATGATGCTGCTGATGTTGACGACAACACATCTTTCTCTTACCATTTTTCTCTATCCTTCACTTGTTACAACCCCATCGCCTGATTCATCTTCTCCTCCATCTTCTAAGTTTGGTCCCTTTCCTCTCTTACCTACCATCTTGTACAAGTAAAACGCCAACACACCACCACTGCAACAGCAATCCAACAAAATTTAAGCTAATACGAATCCTAATTAAGCATTAGAATATGCCAAGTGTTTTCTTTTCCCCATGGAACATTTGAATCTAGCAGGAAGTTTGGTCGAAAAGTATGACTAAATCTTCATTACAATATCAGTCTTTGGGGATTATAATAAACACTTCTTGCAATCATCTTCCTATCGTGTTCTTTTATGAAATTGGAAATATATAATGATATGGTTTTGAGTGTGTACCTCGTAAGGGTGGTAAAAAACCCTAGGAACGTCGATTTCTGTAAAAAGAGAAAACGGAGAGTGAATTATGTTTCATTCAAAGCCATTGTTCAAATCTATGAATCATTTGAAATATAACTTTAAGCAGTGAAAGTTACCTGAGACAGTAGCAACCGCAACTCTCTCAAAAATATGATTGCCACTATAGCTGTTGAACATAAGAACACGGCAACGGATGAGTGTTACTAAACATGCTTTACATCTAATCTCAAAACAAAAATGTCGGAAAACTTCAAAAATCAGATTGGTGAAAATATAATTTGTTGACTAAAATCAAAATCTAGGATTGAACAAGTATCTCTTGAAACAAGCCTCATTTCTATACAAATCAGCAATGCAACTTTAACTAATTTCTTCATGGTTAGCTAATATGCATATCAGAGAGGTTATCAATGCCGTCCCTAATCAAAACCACAATTCTGGTTGTTAAATCAAGAGTTCAGTCATTGGGGCTAGCTTTGTGAATAGTATGCGAAAGAGTTGATACAGATTGAAAAACTTTACTAACCCATCTGTCCTTTCAAGAACTTAGTAGATGACTCTCCTTTCCTATGAGACTTTAGACTTGCCAGGCTCAGTGCAAAAAGAGCTCCACCAAGAATGACTCCAAACCTGATGGCTGGAATGCTTCCCGATACCATAAAGTTAATAAAACCACCGACAAGTAAGAGTAGACCTGTAAAGTATACAAACATTGTTATCCCGTTCCTAGATTACGAACCATGAAAGTTTATAAACGATGAACAAGATATAAACATGTTTACCATAGGGTATTCCAACATGAAAATCATTCGCTCGGGACACATCTTTCAGATCCTCAGTGGAAGCGAATGCTTCAACAATCTCTTTCACATCTGAAGGTGATTCTTCTGCTGCTTTCAAAATATATTCTCTACCCTCCTCGCCAACCACTTTTGCTTTAGTACCCAACACTTCTTTCGCCTTTTCCGCTTGAATCCTAAGTTGTTCAGAAGTTTCTTTCAAGACCGTCATCGCCTTCTGGGAATTAACGGAGTATGCCTCCGATGACACGCTCTGCATCTTTGATACCTGCTCTTTAAAAGACTCAAGAGTTTGTTTCCATGCTTCCTTAGATGTATCATCTTCAACATCTATATCACTCTTCTCCTTCCCCACCTCAACACCTGATTCTTCCTGTTCAAACAATGGAGATAAAGGGTAGTAATCAAAACAATGTCTTTTTAGCTAAGCATAGATCACTTGTTAGCCAAAGTTAGTCAAGACATATATACATGCATAAACAATGCTTGATTTCAATCCCCAAATTGCACCTCACTTGAAATTGGCAGATTATATTTGCTTAATCAAGAAAATTTCACCAAAGTCAAATTCTTTTCGAACCTCAAGTAATTTACAAGATAAAGCATCTAAATTTTGAGATACCCAACACAGAAATTAGAAGTTTTGAGCATAACCACACTACTCACCAAATCCTCGTGGGATGCAGCGAAAGCAACGACGGATCGATTAAGCAAGACTTCTGGACAAAAAGGCGAGCTAAAGCCGAAACGTAGCCCTGTACACGAAATAACAGCTCGAGGAGCATTGAAATGGCGTCGGCTAGGGAGGAGAGGACGCGGTGGCGTCACCGGCGGACGAGAATGAGCTCTATATAGCAAGGTCGAATTAGGGTTTCTGATGGACATCAACTCCATTGGGATACTCATCGCCTGATCAAAACGTCGCCTTGGTGAGAGAAGTCGTCGGCGAAGAAGAGATTAGAGAATGAGAGAGACTTTGAGCTTAGGGATTCAATAGCTCTGTGTGTGTCTCGTGAATGCTTCAACTACGAAGCAAGGAATTTCCAAAGGACTGACTAAACGCAACAAAAAAAAAAAAAAAAAAATTTAAAACGACGTCGTAACATTTGGAATTATACCTAAGAAAATATCTCGAAATTTGAAAGCGTTTTTGTTAGACTCTCTGAGCGATATAGAGTCTTTCTAAATCCCAAACCGAGTTAAACCGGTCGTCTTTATCCGGTTGACTTCTAACGAGCTAAAAACCTGACTTGTGTTATAAAACCCAACATTTCAACATTATTTTGTTTGCAGAAGCAGCCCCGCTCAATATATATGAGAGCCTTAGGGCAAAAAAAATTTTGTTGGCCTATTAATATATATAAAGAGAAAATTTACTTAATTATTAAAAATTTTACAGATTTTTTATAGTAAAAATTGTTATTTTTAAAATATTGTTTATACATTTTCTTATAAATAATTAGGCCTCTTGTAATATAATTTTCATATTAATAATATTTTTAAAAAATATTTGGACCTTTTTATATGTAAATTTTTTATATAAAAAAAAAGTTTCGAACCGTCGCACCTTCGCTCTACCATCTGAGCCGGGACTCTGCAGAAGAAGAGTCTCATTACAATTTGGAAGAATTAGTTTTTGAAAAATAGAGTTGATATTTATTGACAGTTACGGAATTTATGGTCGATTTTGGTATAGTTCCGGAAATTTTTTACATATTTAAAATTAAAATGCATTAAGAGAGACAATAATACCATCTATCTACCAAGCATCGATCAATATTAATATATTATGGTTGGGAGAAGCAGAAGTGAAGGCATTTAAAGCAGAATCTAACAAAATTCCATGTAAGGAGGGTAATGACGAAATGCAGATACACCAAACACTACAAAAATAGTACCAAATTTTCCATAGCCAATAATTTTCTTTCGACACGTGTACGTACATCTATAACTTAACATTGGTTATTCATAAATTTAGTTAAAGAGTTTTAACACTAATTATGGAAGCAATCCATCATTTTCTCGGTTATCTAAACACGTGGTAAATAACTACTAAATATTACTACAAACTTGGAGATTATATCCTTTTGTGGAAATAGAAACTTCATTTCCTGTTATATAAATTGGTCCATCACGTCCCACTTATTGACGAATATTTAGCTTTTCACATATCCGAAAATTAGTCTCGAATTTGGTTTTAGATTTCCGTTATTAAATAAACAAAAATTGTTGCCATACTCGATATTTGTAATGCATATTAATCATTTTTCATATCGATTAAACTTAGGCAAAAGCTTTAATTAGTAAGAATATAGAATAACTTAAACTTCAAGTCTGAAATTTCATATAAAGTTGTCTGCGAACATAATACAGACAACACATAATAAGAACATCACAATAGAAAAAGACAAGAAATTAAAAACTCTAAAAACAACCATTCGAACATCTTATTTAATATTAATCTCATCCACTATATAATAGGGATTCGAAACTTCCGCTAGTAGCTTCATCTGACCTTGCTCATCACCTCACGCTGCAACCACATACAAATTAACATAACACCGTTACTATTATTACCTCTCCAATATTTAACCAAAAAAAAGTTGCATATCATATATATACTTCTTGTTTTTTCTTTTTCATTTGAAAGCCCTTTAATTTATATAATATCTAAGAGATCCACTACAAAAAAAATCATTTTACATCATTTATTTTGAATATTTGTATTACTTATAATTGATGTAAAGGAAATTTACATCACTTAAATAATTGATTTATATATTATTGATAAACTTACGTCTTGCAGTTGGTGCTGGTGCTGATTTTGTAAGGAATATTGACTCCACATGCCTTAGGAATTCCAGCAGCACGGCCAGCGTTGAGACCAGAGCCTAGGGCTCTAGCGGCACCTTGAATGCAATTGCAAGCTTGCTGACGGTCCGGGGTCGTCTTGGCTATGTTGTTGAGGTTTCTAACGCCGGAGCAGCACCCTGCGGGAATGGTACCACCTTGGAGCACGTAACCAATGCACGGTGCCAAGTTGCTGTTAACTGAGCCACAGCTTAGAGCCGCGTTCGATGTGATTGGGCCGGCCACAATCATGCAGGCCAAGACCAAGCATGCCAACTTCATCACTCCAGCCATATTGATCTCTTAGTTAGTGTTTTATGTTGGTTTGCAAGAGGAGATGTGTGTGAGTGATGGATGATGAAGAGAGTTAGGGGAGTGTGTGTTTATATAGAGTAGGAAAGTATTTGTTATGTGGTGTGAATGCGATAGATTATAGAGGGAAGGAGAGTAGTTGGTTGTTGTACTCATTTAATGTTGAGGTTCCTAATTCCTAACTATGTATAGGACCACTCCTCGATTTTGTTTTGACATGTTAATTTAACTTTATCGTATGAAAAGTGATAATTCTACTAAAATACATTTCATTAACGTATTTGTAGAGTGTGACAGTAACTTTAGTTAAGTTGTCATGCTTGGTCTTAAACGGTTATCATTCACCAGTAAATATTGCAAACTTGGAGAATACTTTATTCGGAAAATACAAACTTGGAGAAACTCCTACTTTATTTCCTGTTGTAAAATTATATGTCACTTCCCAATTGATAGGGAATTAGTTTCTATCCGATGTCGTATTGCAAAGGTTAATTTGTTTCAAAAATTGTGTTCGATTGTATGAACAGAAGAGGATTAAAAAAATTGTGAAAAATTGTTTGGATATAATGATATAAGATTTAAAACTTAGAGTGTAAATGGTAACAAGAAAAAAATATTCAGTCAGATTCAGCCAAATTCAGCAATTCCGCAGTTACCATTTGCATAAAACTAATTAAATTCAGCTGAATTCAGCCAGATTCAACAGTTTTTCCAACATCAACAGATACATAGTATGTTCATTTCAGATAAAAATTTGGATTATAGCGATTCACAACTCGAATTAAAATATTTATGGCTATTAAAAATTACACATCAAATATATATTTTAAAATAAGTTAGATCATACAAATACGATATATGAATCATTCATACACATAAAATCATTACCAGAATAGACAAGAGACATATTTATGTTCAGATATCTATAGATAATTTTAATAAATTTTAGATACTTAAATATAATTTTCCAAATTTTTGCAAAAATAACTCATACTTATGCTAGAATAATATTTAAAATATCAAACTAAAAAAAATTGTTAATCATCCTAAATTCCTAATCATATTAAGGATTTAAACCGCTAGAAAACAATAAAAAATCAATAAGATAATCTATACTATATTATCATGTTTATTTTTAAATTAATTTTTCAATAAAACTTTGACAAAGCTTTCTATTAATTAATTATATCTTTTTAATAGTTCAAAAATTAGATCTGGAAGAACAACTCAATTTTGCTAAAAAGATATTAATTCTAGTATTTATTTATTGGTATAAGAGTTAATTAGACTATTAGATAATTTTATTTATTTTATTTAGATATTTTTCCTTAGTTATTCTATTAATATTCGTAATTATTTGATGATATTTCAGTTAAAGTCTTAATTATTTCGACAGATTCTGCTGAAAAGCACAAAAAAATTCAGCTAAATTCAGCAGGTACCATTTGAAAATGTAAAAATTCAGCCAGATTCAGTTAAAAATCACTAAAAATTCAGCCAAATTCAACAATTCAGCCGGATTCAGTCAGATTCTTTGGTTACCATTTAGACCCTTAGACATTTTATTGTTTTTATTATAATAACAAATAATGTAAATAACTTACATTTGGATCGGAAAGTCATTTTTTCGAATGTACATTTCAACTATAGTATTAGTATCTGACTTTATGTCTAGTCAAAAAATTAGTGTGGACTTTGGTTTTGAGATTCCCGATATCACAAATAAATACAAAATGTTGTTATACTTGATACTCCCCAACGGTATTGCAAATTAATCATTTTTGTCATATCGATTAAACTAAAGTAAGCGTTAATAAGAGTATAGAATAACTTAAATTGAAACTGAAATTCATATAACGTTGTTTGCGAACATAGTACAGAGTACAGACGACAACATAATAGAAACGCCACGATAGAAAAAAACAGGAAATATAAAACTCTAAAAACAGCCATTCGAACATTTTATTTAGTATTATTATCTCATCGATTATATAGTATTCGAAACATCCGCTAGTAGCTTCATTTGACTGTCGCTCATCACCTCACGCTGCATTCACATACAAATTAACATAACACCGTCAATATAAGTTTCCAATATTTAACAACAAAAAAATTCTTTATAATATATACTTAAGAGTGAGAGATTAACATACGTGTTGCAGTTAGTGCTGGTGCTGATTTTGTAAGGAATATTGACTTTGCATGCGCTAGGAAGTCCAGCTGCACGGCCAGTGTTGAGACCAGGGCCAACAGCTCTAGCGGCAGATTGAAGGCAACGGCAAGCTTGCTGACGGTCTGGGGTTGTACGAGCCATGTTTCTTAGGTTAGTAACGCCATTACAACACCCTTGGGTAAGGGCTGCACCTTGGGTCAAGTAGCCAATGCACCCTGCCAAGTTGCTGTTAACGGTGCCACAACTCAGAGCCGCGTTCGCTGTCATTGGACCGGCCACAATCATGCAGGCCAAGACCAAGCATGCCAACTTCATCACTCCAGCCATATTGATCTCTTAGTTAGGGTTTTTTGTTGGTTTGCAAGAGGAGATGTGTGTAGTGATGGATGATGAAGAGTCTTAGGGGAGAGTGTTTATATAGAGAAGGAAAGTATACTTTATGTAATGTGAACGCAATAGACTATGGAGGGAAGGAGTAGTTGGTTGCTATACTCATTTAATGTAGACCCATATACGACTTTTAAAATTAGGAATGTCATTGAAATATCATCAATTTTATTTAACAAAAACCAAAAAAAAAAAAACTATTTTAGAAAATAACGAATGTGTAGATGATAATCTTTCGATTCAAAATTTGACGGACAAGATAAGTCTATTTGTGAGGTATGGAAATCCCAACCCGACGGTCGGACGGTGTGAATTTATTTGGACTACTCGCTTGAACAAACAATTGGAGATGTTAGATGTTTCAAAATAGAGATTTTTCTTTTATGATATCTCTAGATTTAAGATGAAAACAACGTTTTCCGTATATATAACTAATACGATTTAGTAAATTAGTATTTATCATTGTATTTGCTATTATTCACAAATTTCAAGTGGATAGACACAATATTATGTCGGTTTGTCCTACCTCCACAGGCTACACCATAGATTGTATGTAGATGGTTCGTCGTCATTATGTGAAAATTTGACTGATATACATAATAAATACTGAATGCATGACACATGGGTAGGATGGGGTCATTGTCGGTTGCGGCCTGAAATGTACAATTATTGGCTTTGCTTTGCAAAACCATCACTCCATCGTCCCATAACTACTATAGTACTATTTCTAGTCTTATTTTGGTAAAACTAGGTCTGATGTGTTTTTTTATTAGTTCGAGTCACTAGATTTTTATGAGGTAAATTTTCAGTTTATCAGGAGGAGGTACTGTGTGTGTTTAGTAAGAATTAAAATGCAGTGTCAAGAAACACTAATTAAACATGGAACGATCATATTTACTCGTAATAACATACCTTTACAAATATATATATTTTTTAATCTTTAATTCTATCTAGTGTTTTTTTTTCGGTGTGGTGATGTGTTAAATGTCCTCTATTTGGCTAAAGAACACGCCAAAAAAATCTTTTTTCATTCATGTGTAAACAGAAAAATCTTATTTACTGTTTCAAATAATTATGTCGGTGCCTGAAAAAGGCTACATGATTTATGCTTTTTCCTTTATTTTCGGTAAAAACTGTATAATTAATTAGGCACCGAAATGCCACATGCAACATATTATATCTACGCAGAACACGTGTGAGCATAAAGTGCATTGGTATATAAATACATACGATGTAACTACTCATGCTAATTAAGGAGCTCTCTATACGTGTTAGAAATTGCAGTATATTTCATGAAACATGGTGAGAAGCCCCAAGTCTGAAATGACAATGACAATGATATGGACATAGAATAGTATTAAAAACGAAATAGATTTTTTATCAATTAATTTGATCTACTAAACTTATGAAATTTAAAATAAAGTTGTGATTGATGTATAGATAAGAGTAAAAAAGTGGAAGTGACACAAATGCGGGATTAAAATTTAACGCTGTTAAATAATTTTGTTATGTCTATTAACGACTGTTAAGTCTCGGGTTCGAACTAAATTTTATAAAACGATAGTTTAAAAGGCAATCAAAATTAAATGAAGTATTTTTATTCCAAATTTAAAAACACAGGTATTAAACGGCAATAAAAAATAGATAAAGTTTTTTTTCGGGTTTTTTCCTATTTTAAAAGTCATGAGAAATTGATTCTTATTTTTTATTTTTTTTGGCGACAGCTTTTAATTTAATAAAATTCAAAAGAGCTATTCTTCAAGAAATTGACTCAATTTTTAATCTTTTTCCAGTATAATTAGATTAAAAAGATTTTCTATTTGCTTTTATTCGATAGATCAAAAAAACCAAAACAAAATAATCAGCTACTTTTTTCTTAAGCTAATTATGTTATCCAGTCGTCGCATCCATATGAACATAAGTTTGGCCGAATGATGCAGGATGGTCTGGATAAGATACACTGTCAATTACTGCTACACAGTTTATGATGGATATCAAGAACTGTTTTTTCAAAGTGGCTTATTTAAACTACAAGTATCGCACTCACATGATTAAATGGTGTTGGGTTTGGGCCGAATCGGGCTTGCTTGTTGTATACACTATTCAAAGCCATTTGGATAAAACATCCAACTTCGTCTCAACTGTTCTTCACTACATACTTCTTTCTGAGTGCAGAAACATAGAGAAAATAATAAAAGAACCAATTAGCTTACATGTTAGTAAAAGCTAGGCTCAACCAATTAAACGGCTGTGACTCTTTTTTCCCCAAAATCTTAGTTTACAGTTCGGTCACATATCTATCTAGCTTCGGTGTTTGTAGCTTGTCAAAAAAAGAAAAAAACTCCTATATCATTAACAATCCGTTAAAAATTGTCGATTGATAATTTTTAAAATATTTCTAGATTACTCAATTCGTGTTTTGTAGTAAACCAATCTCCAGATCATTGCTACTAATATCATCATTGTCTCCTACTTCAGCATGGACGGTTTCTTCTTCCGAATGACTTTTTTCGGCTGCAGCGGAGGTAAGTTCCTCTGCCCGCTTCACTTGATGGGTCCAGTCCGTACGGATTAACGTATAAAGCAGCATTACCAAACACGTCATCTGCGCAGATAACAGTCCAAACCATAGCCCACGAAACCCAACCTTGAACCCAAACGTGGTCGTAACTGCCACAGGCAAGCCCACAATGTAGAATGCGCATAGGTTGACGCGTGCTCCATCTTTAGGCCTCGCCGTCCCAGTCAAGACTCCGCAAGCGGCAGTCTGCGGCGAGTTTCCGATCTCGCAAAGCCCCAAGATCGGAAGCGCGGCCGAAATAAGCCCAAGGATCTCCGGTTCGTCCGTGAACATCTTTCCCCAAACCGACCTAAGCGCCGTCACAAAAACAGCTGCTGCTAAACCGTACGCTACCGCGAGTATCAAACCAATCACGGTCGTACATTGCGCCCGTGTGGGTTGACCGCCTCCAAGTGCGTGACCTACACGGGTTGCAATGGCGCTGCTTATAGCAAACGGGACTACGTATAGTATCCCCGTGGTCTGAATCAATATTCCCATGGCGGCCACGCTTGCTTTAGGGTTCCCAAGAAGCCCACAAAGAAAAAGCATGATCTCATACCACCAATACTCCAAACACACCGAGATGGCGCTTGGTGCGGCTAGTGAAAGCAGCGGCCACCAGCCGCGGAAAAGCGACCGCAAAGCCAGCCCTTCCCACGGTTTGATTAGAGAATCCGAGAAGCACGTGTAAACGAGCAGTCCAACGTTGATATTCATTGTGTTAAAAGCCATTGCGATTGCAACACCCTTAACGCCTAAACGCATACGCACGACGAAGACGTAGTTGAAGAGAGGATGAAGAAGAATGGATACAATGGCAGATATAGTCAGCGGTGACGTTAAGCCTTGCGTTCTGAGGAATGTTCGAAGCGGATGGAGCATGGCTTGAGCCAGGAGCTCAGGGACGAAGAAGAGCATGTAGGTTTTGGCGACCTTGGTAATATCCGGGTCCTGACCCAACCGTAGGAAAATGGGTTCGATGTTGAGCCACGCAACGGCGATTGGAGCAGAGACGACAATTAAGAGACAGAACATTTTCTGAAACGTGTGGCTCAGTACAGTCCAGCGTTTGGCTCCGAAGGCTTGGCCACAGATTGGGTCCATACCAACGGAAAGGCCTTTGAGTATGGAGACTCCGGTGATGTTTCCGAAGCCCATGGCGAGTGCACCACCAGCGAGTTCAACTTTTCCCAGGTGACTCAAGAACCACATAGAGATTATTGATCGCGAGAATATGAGGAGTGATGTCATCACGATCGGGCAAGCTATTTTTGTGAGTGACGCCATCTCCTCTCCCACCTGCATGGGAAAAAACAAAATTATGTTATAATTTTGTTATGTTTTTCACTTTTTTTTTTTTGATAAAATGATGTTCAATTATTGAACAACTCTTTATTATTTTACTGTTGTACGCTTCTTCTTCTACCAAAACGCAAAGAAAATTTTAGTAGTATATAGAAAGAAGCGCAACATAAGTATGTTGACATTAATTAAAAACAAAAAAGTTTTTATCCTCAATATATGATTTAGCCTTTTATATGCATATAGAAAAAATTATCATGTTTAGTAATTTTGTACGTAATTTGGTTTTTAATTATATACGATATTGCACTCATTAAACATTTTTACCCTCAATATATGATGTAGTCTTTATAATATCATATTGAAAATTATCATGTTTGGTATCTGTGTAGGTGATTTGGTTTTTCATATACGATATTGCACTCATTTAAAAAATACTAAATTCTTTGTTATATCATTTATTAATAATACTTTTTATCTCATCAAAGTAAATAAATTTCATTTATAAGTAGCAAGTTGTATGAAAATGGTATTTATAGAAGCTTTATACATGAGTTTTTTGTAAAGCATAATCTACATTAGTTTTTTTTTGGTTATAAAACGAAAAATAAAATCTTAAACTAATTTTTATTGTGAAACAGAAGGACATTACATTACAATACGGAAAATGATATTTTATCATTATTAAATTAAGAACAAATTCTAAGCAGTAAGCACGAGGAAGATGGTCGCATCACATGGCCACTGGGGCTGGGATGAGAAAGTTGAAAAAGAAGAGAAAAAGTTTAAATTCTATAACTTTTAGAACTGAATAATTAATCAAATTCACAAGTGACAGAAAAGCGAATGGCTAACTGTACCAACATTCTAGGATCTTTTTAAATAAAATCATCATGGGTTCTTAAAAGCTCACCTTTTTATTTTCTTTTTTGAAAAACAAAATCAGCTTAGATTATGTATATCTTTCATTTGATTATAACTTCATTAGAAATTTCGATATTTAAAAATTCATATAAAAAATACTATACACATATACACATATACTCTTATCAAGAAAAAATGAATCGAGAAGTAACTAGATTATACTAAAAGTGGTATTAATAAGATAGTAAACTTTGTACTAATGGAACTGATAAAAAGAATAGAATGAGAGGAAACCTATATAGAACACTTTCCAAGTAAGTACAACCCAACTGTCAAGAAATATAAAGTAAGTACAACACAAAAAGCATCTCTCTCAGTCCATGAAAGTTCTAGTAACGCTTTAGGCATACATATGAAGTATGAACACATATTTATCCACACAATCAAACATTTTTATCTACATAGACAATAGTTACATATAAATGAATGTCAATTTATTTCTCAACTACGTGAAAGATAGATGAAGCCTTCTTGAAACTATGTTTCTAAAGGGATGCATTACATTAACAACAGTCAATACCAGCATTCAATCCAGTATAAAATCAATTTCCAAGAACTCTATGTTATTTACCAACCCAAATACTGTGAAAGTGGCTGAAAACTATAAAATAATCCATCAAAAAAATCAAAACTATAATCAACAAATTCGCTGGTTAAACGTAGAAAACGTCTCCGTACTAGATTAATATTATTCTAATCACGAAAACCAGTCGGACGTATATAAAACAAACAAAAGAAAAGTATGAAATCAAAGAATAAGCAAAGTGACTTGTCCAAAATAATCGAATTTTTTTTAATCAAGAAAATGTAAAAAGAAAAAAAGAGAAAAAGAAACAAGCCTCATTGAAAGGGATACGACGAAGACCAGCGGAGAATTTGGCGTTGCCGCTAGTTTCGCCTTTGACGGACGTTGAAACATCGCATTCTCCGTTTATAATCTCTCCAGATTCACTGCTTTTCATGTTGGACCTGCACATGCTCATATATATTTGTTTGTACTATATAATATCACACTTCGTGACTTATAAGAAAGAGATTTATATGTTGGTAACTACGATAAAAGCATTGCCATAGAGGCTCGATCGCTACGATTGTGTGTGTGTGAGAGAGAGACAGTGAGAAAGAAGAAGAATGTTTAAGTGCCTCTCGTATTTATGTACGTTTCCTTAGTCCACCTCTAATTAATCTCAATTATTTTATTTTCCTTAAATATTTTGAACTACCTTTTTTTTTTTTTTTTTTGGGAACCTGTTTGTTTGTTTATATTTATGTATCCAGTTTTTGTATTTATAAAAACTTCCACATAGTCAGTCTTCTTTTGTCCAAAAAAAAAAAAAAAAAAAAAGTCAGTCTTCTTAGACTGAGCCAATTAACTAAAGTGTTTCCGTTTTATACTTTATTTTCCACTTATAGAAAGGCTTGTTGACACTTATAGTAAAAAAAGAAATATAATATGAGTTTACCTTGGTGGTTCTTCGGTGCATGATAAGATAAGTGCCAACTCTGAGATTAACGTTAGAATATTTGCTTTTCATGTATACAGCTTTTTTTACAAATGTGTTACAATTTTGTTCTTTCATATTGTGAAGAGTCTTAAGACTATCATTATTTTATACTACATATTTTTTAAAAAAAGAGAATTAAAAAATTAGAAGATATTTCTGCAAAATTAGTTGAAAGATGGGAACTAGATTTTATGACAAGAATGTGTAGAAGATATCCGGGATCTAGTGCTTACTATGTCTATAATGTGTTTGGATCTAATAAGTATCGTAGGGACTAAGAAATACCAATGTGGAGTATGTGTAATATGTTTTTGTATAATTTGGTTAATTAATTGGGAGGCATGGCAGCATGTAATGGTAAATGTTTGATTTGGATAACGAAGAGAAAGGCACCAAAGATCAAGTACAATTAGCCGCTATATATTATTTGAAAATTTTAATTTTTTATATATAAGATCAAGTACCAACCAAAGCAGAATTATGCCATTCATGATGAAAGTGGAGAAGTAAACAGCTCTGAGAACTCTATGTATATCATCTTTTGAGAGACCTTGCTAATTAATTATTATCTTAATATATATTCTTGCTACACCTATTTTTAACTTTCTATAGTTAAGAATGGATGAAACTTCCCATCAATAACTAGTTACAATAAGTCTAATTAGTATACTGATAATACACATGTTTGAGGTTATGTACTTGAAGACTTAAAAACGATTTTGGAAGAATATGATATCGGGACTGTCTAAATAAATATGATGCTCTCTCAAATATTTGGATACAACAATTTTGTTCAAGCCCTTTTCTTTAAAAAAAAAACTCAAAACCATATACATCCAAATTTTGAAGATGTTGCATGAAAGTTGATTAACAGTCCTTTCAAACGACACAAAATTACATCATTAGACCGATTTTTCCTTGTACTGATGTGTTAATGTATTTTTTTCCGACACTAATATAACTAAATAATTAAAAATGTGTCCTAAGTTTAAAGAATAGATTTGTTCAAAAAAAAAAAAAGTTTAAAGAATAGATAAAAAGACTAAATTGAATACAATGAAAAATCATGTAGCACAAATATAACATAAGAAAAGATCCGACCTTTGTTTTTTTTTAAAGACTTTTTTTGTGTTGTAGTTTGTCATTTAGTTTTTTTTTCCTTCTTTTTTAAAGAATTTTTTAGGACAATATTCACATTCTTAGCATTGTTCCTTTTTTTATTATTAGAAGAAAGTCATGAAAAAGTCCATGTATAAACGATTTATCCTTACCAGAAAATTTATCATTTTACTAATACCAGTGTTCAAAGATAATGTTTGAGTCATTTAGTCTCGAGTTAACATAAGGGTAAGCATCATAATTTTCATACATTGTTGAAAGGAAAAAAAAAACATAAAATCAATAATAGTGATTAAGGGCTTCTAGTTGCATTTGCAAATTAAATAATTTTTTTGGATAATGTAGAAACAAAATCAATGATGGTGTCATCTTAAAGGCAATTTAGTTGCAATTCTCTTAAGATAAGTAAATTTCTTCGATAAAGAGAATATTTTTGAAATACAAAATCATTAGGGGAGATGCGGATTGTCTTCTCAGAAGCATGCACAAGATATTTATAAGCTATTTGAAACATTCATTACATCTTCTTTGATAGCGACAGCGTTGGTGTCTTCAAAACTTGTTCCATGTCTCCCTATTGCCACACCTACATAATTTTAATATCATCGTTTGTAGACAACAAACAACTTCTTTTCAATGTATTTATTTAGTTTTATTCTAGAAATAGTTCTAAGCTTCTTATTCGTTTTGATAGTTAAATTTATATATTATTGCCCAAAATCCGATGAGTAATTAAATTTTAATTAGTAATCTAACGGGGACCATTGTCGAAGCTTACTAACGTACGGAAGATGCTATTGCTAACCAATTAGTGTATAATCACATGCATCTCCTTCAAACTTCAATTATATATGCACACTCTTTTTTTTCTGTTAAAAATTATATGCACACTCACAAGTCACGATTAAACACTTCTTAACTTACTTGGTCCACTTATCTAATTTTTTTATAAACAAAAATAAACGAGACTTGGTTGGTACAGGTTTTTTATGTTTTTAAATTAAACCACGGAAAAACTGGAACTCAGAGACAGCCAATAGCTATAATGATCTTGTAATACATACACTCATAACGACGACGACCCTTCAACAAACTTGGGGTTCTTATTAACTTACTTTATACAGTTTGTTTCTGTTAGATTTGATCATTCATGTCAACTTCGGGCTAACCATATAAATTTCTTGGTTGGAAAATTGTAGTTTCTGGGGCTAAATTATCTTTAGTATCACTTAAAGGGCAGCCATAAAAGTAAATCTTAAAATATTTGATGCAACACATCTTTCCACTTTGTTTTTATTTAATATGTATTTCCTATTATTTGTTCCATACCATAAACTCAATAACCTAAAAATAATTAATAAACCAATACATACTTGCTAGTATGTATCATTTATTCATTTTTAAGTAATGTTTAAGATTTCTACACACAAACTAAGAAAACACATAATTTTTATTTAATTTATCTCTTTTACATAAAAAAATCCAATAAGTAAAATGAATTCAATAAAAACTATATTTTAAAATATAAATGATCAAAAAAATTAAAGACATATAATTTTGCATAGAAAATTGAAAACATATAAAATTTTTTTTTCTTTCTAAAACATCACTTATAGTGATACAAATGGTGTACGTTAATAAAAACTTAATGTTATTCCATATTCAAACTATATATAATTCATCAGTTCACCATTTTTATTATCTTGATTTGGCGGGACGTTAAAATAACTTTGAATTAAGGGGCTTTTGCAAAAATGCCACTTTTTCAATGCCACTTTTCAAAAATACCCTTTTTTAAAAACCTTATAAAAAATGCTCTTAAAAATATAAGATTTACCCAAATATGTATGTAATATTATTAAAACATACACAAACTACATTTGTATGTATCTAAAATCTTATAAATACTTTATAAATACCTTATAAATGCATTTTAAATACCTTTAAAATATCTTGTAAAACCTTTGAAAAACATTAAAAATCCTTTAAAATAACTTGTAAAACCTTTAAAAACACCTTATAAAACCTTATAAATACTTGGATCGAGTCTTCAAGTAGTAGTTACAATCCATAAGTACCTTATAAACTTAATAAAACTTTATAAAAATTTCAGATTTAAAAAAGGGCATTTTTGAAAATGGACATCTAAAAGGGGCATTTTTGAAAAAGGGCACACCAAAAAGGGTATTTTTAACAATTTCCCTTGAATTAATATGTGATAAACCACTAATCGCTATAACATGATATTTTTCTAAGTTCTCTAACCCAAACATTTAAATATTTTTGAAAATTCGACAATACAATAATAAAAAATGTTTTTAAAATATCTTTAATGTGTTGTCGACAATTTTGTTTTAATTTTTAGTTTGCCAAAATTTAAACCAGGAAAAAATTAGGGAGACTCACAAAAATGCCCCTTTTTTAATACCCCTTTTCAAAAACGCCCCCTTTGGCTGTCCATTTTTAAAAATACCCCTTTTTATGTACAAAATGACTAAATTACCCTTCTTTTAATAAAATATATCACAAATATATAAGGAAATATAACAAAATTAGGTCCACAAAATACAAAATATTTTTTGGCGGGAAAAGTGATCCCGCAATTTTTCCCGCCAAAACACTTGTAAAAACTTGTAAAACCTTTAAAATACCTTGTAAAATTTTCCCGTAAACTTTTTCCCGCCAAAAAATTTTCCCGCCAAAAAATTTTTTTTGCGGGAAAAGTGATTCCGCAATTTTTTTGGCGTTAATTTTTGGCGGGAAAATTTTTCCCGCCAAAAATTTACAAGGTATTTTAAAGGTTTTTTACAAGGTATTTATAAGGTTTTACAATGTATTTTAAAAGGTTTTACAACGTATTTACAAGGTATTTATAAGATATTATAAGATTTTACAAGCTATTTTATAAGGTTTTTACAAGTTATAAGGTTTTACAAGTTTTTTATAAGGTTTTACAAGTTATAAATACCTTATAAAACCTTATAAGTACCTTGTAAAACCTTTTAAAATACATTGTAAAACCTTACAAAACACTTGTAAATACTCTGTAAAACCTTTAAAATACCTTGTAAATTTTTCCCGCCAAAAATTTTCCCGCCAAAAAAATTTCGCAAAAAAAATTGCGGAATCACTTTTCCCGCAAAAATTTTTTTTGGCGGGAAAATTTTTTGGCGGGAAAAATTGTTACGGGAAAATTTTACAAGGTTTTTTAAAGGTTTTTACAAGTGTTTTGGCGGGAAAATTGCGGGATCACTTTTTCCGCCAAAAAATATTTTGTATTTTGTGGACCTAATTTTGTTTCAAATAAGGGTAAAATGGTCATTAAAAATTAAAAGAGGGCAAACTTAAAAATGGACTCTCAAAGGGGGCATTTTTGAAAAGGGGTATTGGAAAAGAGGCATTTTTAACAATTTCTCAAAAAATTATCGTGTAGAATATTAATAATCATTTTTTGTTTACTGGATAATTCTACCTAGGTTTGTAATTTCCTCTTCGATGAGGCCCATGAGGGACTATTTCGAGAGCTATCTCGGTATCTTTTGTCCTTGAGATTGATTCGCAAGTACACATCTGGACCGGTTCAAACATTAAATTTCGGCCCACATAATGGCCCAGCCCAAAGAGGCAACATCATCTTCTGAGCGCGTTTTCCATCTGACATAATCATATTCAAATATTCACAGCGGAAATGAAGTTAGAGAACCATATGATCATCATCATCATCATAAATTCATAATAATAAATATTAATTTTATTCATTGAAAATCAGTAATGGACCCTCACTTTCTCTAGGAAAAAAATAAACAAAAATTTAAAGAAATACTAATAAACAACGAATCAAATTTGCTGCCTCTGACAATCGAACAAGTCTTGTTGATTTTTCTTCTTGGGGCGGATCATAATTTAGAACCGCCCGAAAACTTCGGATCCTCTCTCTCTCTCTCTCTCCAATGGCTCTGATGCGAACCAGGAGCCAATTGAACGTATCTTCATTGACTCCACCACCACCTCCTCCGTCTCCAATCCCTAGAGCCAGAGGATCTCGTTGCGCTGCCAGCGAGATTCTCACCGAGATCATTGAGCGATCGGTTCAGGTTCCTGAGCTCACGCTTCCGGAATCTCATTCTGGAGGTGAATCTTGCGGTTCACGTCATCTGATCCCGGCGGAGATTGATTTCCGGTTATTGGCGTCGAGGAGAGAAGGTTCCGTGGATCGGTTGGTGCGATCGGCGAGAGAGTTTGGAGCGTTTCGTGTGAGTTATCATGGGATATCGGGGGAGGAGCTGAGGTCTCTTGTGAGGGAATCGGGTCGGGTTTTCGGAGTTTTGGAGGGAAGAGACACCGGCTTTCACCGGAGTGTTGTCGGAAACAGGGACGAGATCGTGTGGGTACGGTCGTGGAAAGAGCGCATGGAATGGGCGCGCGAGTATATCGGACCGGAAAGATACCGCTGCTTCAGGTATTGGGCCATTAATGGGCCGTGTTTCACTTTTGTGTTAATTGTGTTTGACTGTTAGTAGTTTTTGAAAAGATCTTTGATAAGTGAAGTATTAGAGCTAATTAACACTTAGTGATAAATAAATAGCGAATTACGTTTTAGAAATTTGTCATGAACATTGCATTTCCAAAAAGTAATTAGTGATTCAGAATTTGGATCCAATCCTTGAATCTTTAATTTGGTTGCAGCCAAGAAATGGAGAATGTAGCTGATAAACTTGAAGAGATAGCGAGGAAACTAGGGCAGATAATGGTAGAGAACTCAAGAAAACAAAGTGACAAGAGGATACAAAGAGGAGAATCTGTACTCAGCGTTTACAGGTACAATCATGAAAACGTAACTGAGCAAAGCCCTCCTTTGCCGAAAGAGAGGACCGAAGAAATGCTTCATTACACATTCAGCCTTCACCTTCCGGCTAAGAACTGCGAGTTCCGCGTCAACTCAGGGAAAGGTCCACTTTCTTTCCATGCTGATCCCGACACTATCCTTGTCACTTTTGGTCGTCAGCTTGAGGTATGTATAAACACTTGATACTATATATATGATCAATCAATGGTATAGTAATCTTGTAATAACTTTTTGATACTATAGGATTGGAGTTTAGGAGAATTCAAATGTCGTCAAGGAGAAATCATCTATCATCCAGATGCGTATGGCTCGCCCACTTCCTTCTCCGTAGAGCTCAAGTGCATGTCTCTTTTCTTATCACACACTTCTATCGCAACAACTTCCAAAACCTTCTCTTTAACCCATCAGATTTTCACTGCTTTCCTCCTACTTTTTTTCTTCCAATGTTTTTGGATTTATGGATCAAAAGTGGCCCCTTAGAATATTCATATATGTATATTTTCTTTTCGTGGGAGGCATGCGTGCATTTGAATCTTGGATGATCAACCGGTAAAGTGTGTTTATCTATTAGGTGGAAGCTTCGGTTGTATATGTAAACCTTATACATAAAATTTGTTGCTCCTTAAAAAAAGTATGCCAATATAGAATTGAGTTTTACTTGATCGACTTTTGAAACGCAAAATCTTGTTTTAAGCAATTTGTGTTTTGAATACGTTATTCCTCACTTCTGATGGGTTTGGGATAAATAATTTGTCATCTAATAAAGAAAGATGTAATTTAATTTCCTCATCTAACTAACTTTGAGAAAATCGCCACAGAAATCCCTCATTATTGATTGAATGAATGAATTGTAAAGACTTTTGTTTCTAATCATAAACCATCAATCTTGTTAACGTAATTTTTTTTTTTTTTTTTTGTAAACAAAGACAAAAGGTCGTAGATATTTGTGATGGTTGTTTTTGCAAACTTTGCTTCGTAGATTGTTTTAACATTTTTTAAAAAATCAAACCATGACGATGTTGTGACAAAGAAGAAACGTCCTAAACTAAAATTTAAAAGTGACGGTGGGTGTACGGACGACGTCGATGGCTTACGTATACCACCACGGTTCACGGTGTTAAAGACGGTGTCTCTCTTATTGAATAAAACGATGGTGACGTAATTATGTTCTCAAAAGAATGATGTTTAAATGGATATAGCACAATAAAAGAAGTTGACTGGGCAGTTGGGTATATAACTATATATAGATGTGATGTTTCGATGGTTGGGGTTTCCGGTTGGGTTTGACTCCACAATGACGCTCGGATGTTATAGTCGAAATGACCGATCGTCATACGATTTATCGAGAGAACTTCTGGTGTTTGGTTGGGTATTACTACTAAAATGATATGACGGACTGTGGGGTGTTGATTTTCGCGTAGATAAAATCAATAAACCAAAATGTAATTAGATAGTAAATACCATTACGAAAGCTAAAACCTACATATTGGAAACCATGAATGAGCAAGAGTTGTTTAGTTTATTTGTTTTACTTTGTCGAGTTTTTGCTTTTGCATCTTTCCTAATTATTTTTTATAGGTATCTTGTTTTTGGTCAAAATTTTACAGGTTTATGATATTATTTTGCACAAGTTCACGTGGAAGGATTAAATTTTGGCTTTTTCAACAACAAAAGGGGTACTAGTATGATTTTACTCCACACACGAATGACTTGGATCCACGAATCCAAGTTCAAATTAAATTATGAGAAAAACTTCGCCCATCATTAATCCTTATATATTACTAGTATTAACCAAATTTCCAGCTATTAAATAGTAATAATTATATGCTGACATTGAATTTCAAACAGTATTGAAATGTTATTGTTTTGTCACTAATAATTTAAATGGTATTTGTTGACTGGATAATGTTATTGGTTTGATTGGGTAGCTACGGTTGGATGCGGTTGGAGACAAACCATTTCATCAATTACGGATGTGATATTTGGTAAATAAACACATTGGGAAAATTAAAATCATGAAAAAATGTTCCTTGAATCGTAAATTACTACTTTTTTTTTTTTCTAATAGATATCGTAATTACTTTCAGGATAAAATGACTCTATCTCGAACCTGGTTGATATATCGCAACTAATTCGAACTAGTTAAATTGTAAAAGTAACGCATTGAAATTTGAATTTTTCCTACCAAAGATTATTTCTTTCTTTTATTTTTTTAATCCGTTATAAGTCAAACAGATATTAAAATCTTTGTTTAAAAAATGGCTTACGTGGCAAGTAGAGGAATTTCAATAAGTAGAGGCACCGCGCGCATGTCTTTTCAGTTTGTAGACTGTTTCTATTTGCTCTGTTTTTTTTTGTTGGTTAATGGCCGAAGACTCTAATTCTTCCGATTCAATCATCGTTAATGTCATCGGAGATGATAATAAGTCGGCGTTGTTCGGTAAGTACGACCTCGGAAAGCTCCTCGGTAGCGGCGCGTTTGCCAAAGTCTACCAAGCGGAGGATCTCCAAAACGGTGGAGAAAGCGTTGCGATCAAAGTCGTACAAAAAAAACGTTTGAAAGACGGTTTAACGGCGCACGTTAAGAGAGAGATCTCTGTCATGCGCCGTCTTCGTCATCCTCATATCGTGCTCCTCTCCGAAGTCCTCGCCACCAAGACGAAGATCTATTTCGTCATGGAGCTAGCCAAAGGCGGCGAGCTTTTCTCCAGAGTCACTAGCAACCGTTTCACGGAGAGTCTCAGCCGGAAATATTTCCGGCAGTTGATCTCCGCCGTGAGATACTGCCACGCAAGAGGAGTTTTTCACCGTGATTTGAAACCGGAGAATCTCCTCCTCGACGAGAATCGAGATCTGAAGGTTTCAGACTTCGGTCTCAGTGCGATGAAGGAACAGATTCGTCCCGACGGGATGCTACACACGCTTTGTGGAACTCCGGCTTACGTTGCACCGGAGCTTCTTTTGAAGAAAGGCTACGACGGTTCTAAAGCTGATATTTGGTCATGCGGCGTCGTTTTGTTCCTTCTCAACGCCGGTTACTTGCCGTTTCGTGATCCAAACATCATGGGACTATACCGGAAAATCCACAAGGCTCAATACAAGTTACCGGATTGGACATCTTCAGATCTACGGAAACTCCTCCGCCGTCTCTTGGAGCCTAACCCGGAACTGCGGATCACCGTCGAGGAGATTCTAAAGGATCCGTGGTTCAATCATGGAGTAGATCCAAGCGAAACCATCGGAATCCAAGCCGACGATTACGATCTAGAGGAAAACGGGAAAATTCTAAACGCTTTCGATTTGATTTCGTCGGCGTCGAGCTCGAATCTCTCCGGTTTGTTTGGAAATTTCGTGACGCCGGATCATTGCGACCAGTTCGTCTCCGATGAGAGTACGGCGGAGATTATGAGGAAGGTCGAGGAAGTTGCGAAGCAGTTGAATTTGAGAATCGCGAAGAAGAAGGAGAGAGCGATCAAGCTTGAAGGTCCACATGGAGTAGCTAATGTCGTCGTTAAAGTTCGTCGGCTAACAAAAGAACTAGTGATGGTGGAGATGAAGAACAAGCAGAGAGACGTGGGCTTGGTTTGGGCCGATGCTCTTAGGCAAAAACTACGTCGTTTGATTAACCAACCGGTTTTTAGGGTTCCTGACAAACCGTAAAATGGTTTCCACACAAAACCAACAATCCGTGCGTTTTACTCGGAATTTTTCAACGTAATCCATTCGCGAGGTTAAACAGTTGAACAAGAGAACCGGTTTTTCATTCGAGACGCATTTGGTTAACCGGTTCGGTTTACATGGGAGCAGAGAGAGTAATGGGACGATCCGCCTCTTTGTATATAAAAATGACAAGAAGAAAAAAAACAAACCGGGATTCAATTTTTTTGTTTATTTTTTTCGGAGTATAATTTAAACACAAAATTATTTGCTTTATTCATCGCAGAGAAATTGAATAAAACTCTGATCTGAACTTTGTAGTTTTTATGTGTATGTGTGACTGTGTGTGTTTGCAAACTTGGGCCTTTCTTTGTTTTTGCTAAGGGACATGCTACACCGTTTGTAATTTTTCTCGTTGTTGATTGCGTTTGGGAATCGTACAAAGCATTTCAAGATCTTTTTGTATTAAGCTATGAATGTTTCTTTGAGTTTGCTTATATATGCTATGAATGAAAAACATGCCGCCGAAACAAAAAAATCGAATAACATCAGTTGTCACTGCTCATTACCACTGCTGCCAAGATATCCAAACGAACATGCCCTTGATCCCATATTAAAAGCTTACCGTGCAATCTAATTAGTCGAAGTCGACTAAAAGAGCGAGAGAGAGAGAGAGAGAGAGAGGAATGTTATAAAGCAATAGTAGCTGCTGTTGGTAATTACGTGTTAAGTGTATGGTAAGTCTATCGAAGCCAACCATCTGTTTAAGTAAAAACTCAAAATCTTAGGTTGAAGAAAATCAGAGGACAAAGACAGACGAGGTATATCTGCAAGAAGTTGTGTCCCAAAATGATTTTCAATGTTTTTTTTTTTTTCTTAATCTTGAAATTGTGACTACCAAAACGACTGTACATCTTGGTTTAGGAATTGACCCTCCACAAATTGCCTCCCAGTCCCATCCCCAGTCTTCTTCACTTTCCTACACATTATTAACAAACACCAAAATCATTACCCAATACTCTCCATTGCTGATGTTCCAAACTTAGCAAACTTCTAAAGAAACCTAATCTATAACTAATGTAAGAGCAACTCTAAAGCATGTTACAGGTATAAGATGCTCTATAAGAAAAAACAGAAACTGTTACTATAACCTATGTCCCTTTGAAAACATTATTGAATAGCCATGGCCACAGCTGAATTGCGCAAAACAGTAATTAAGGGTTCAGAACAAATTAGTCTTACTTGAGCCAGTGATTCGGAGAAGGGAGTTCAAATGGATTCTCCGGAGCCAACCCAGTTGGACTCATGTATGCAACATTATTCGGGCCGGTATCTTCTGGTCTACTAAGCGACAAAAGACTCTCTATGCCAGATGATGCTGGGAGGAACATTTTCTGTGACCAGGGATCATGGTTGCTTGGACCAGCAATGGGGCTGAACGGGCCACTTCTCTGATCATTTTCAAAACTTTCCTTCTTGTGTGAATATGCACTGAGAATAGGGTCATCTTTTGCAAATAGCGATGATGTCCTATTATGAGGCACATGATGCACAGCACTTTCCTCATTAGCTCTAGTGTTATCTGAAGGTAGAAGGAGGTCTTGGCCAAAGGTGGTCTTCCACATTTGCCAGCTTCCATCATTAACCTGTTTTTCATCTGCAACTCGTAATCTTGACAAGGGAGATTCTATCGGAGATGGCTTATTGACTTCACAAAAAGGTGTATTCTTTAACAAGTGGGGTTTTTTCAGTCTTCCACCAGTTTCAAACCCAGCCCTTAGATCAAGCGATTCTGAAACAGGTCCCAGAAGAGATATTGGATCCGGAACATAACACGGATCTTCAAAACGCTCTTCTTCAGGCATAAAAGCATGAGCCTTTTCCCCAGGCTGAGGGAGAACAATATCTCTTGCAGATGAGAAACCTAAGCTACTGATAGTCGATCCGCTAGAGTATGTTGGTATAGTGAATGGTGATGGGAGCCCAAAACTGATTGGATTGTCAAAGGTTCGGACTGACTGATCTTGATTAGGAACCTGTGAACTCTGAACATCTTTGGGCTTTGTATTAGGTCGACTTATAACATTAACATTGGAGGAGGCAGGCACAGATGGCGTACGGGCGAATAGTTGCTGCCATGATTTTTTAGGTTCTCCACTTGGTTGCGGCTCAGAAACAACCTGAGGAGAACATCATAGCATTTTTAAGTATCCTTTATGAAACAAGTTGGAAAAAACTAGAACCAAATCTAATATCGCCTACTTCAAGATAGTAAACTTCTCAACTTAAGATACACAAAACAGATGAGTTTATAAGAGAGGAGTGATATATAACTGCAAAGACAATCGACTAGTTTAATCATCCGGATCGCAATGGCATAAAAAATTTGGTCAGAACACTTACATGAAGAGTAGTATTCCTTTCCTCTCCATTTGAACCAGATTTTCCAGCAACAAATTCAGGAGGATTAATATGCCTAGTATGAGCAGATGCATGAGAATGGTCTGCAGAACCGATGTGCTTATTCTCTTTTGCAATTGTAGCTGACATATTGACACCTCTTCCAAAGAACCGGTTATCTGTAAAAGCCTTAGAAGAAGAGAAGAATGTACCCTTCACTCGATCAAAGTACCTACCGCCAGCACCTGTCATGTTACTGTTACTAGTAGCATTATTATCTACACCATGCCCGTGCCTCTTTTCCATGTTGGGGCTCCTAAAATGATCATTTTTCTCAAGCTCACGCTTATGGTCAGTATCTTTTCCTATTCTCTTATCAGGCTCTTCGACATCGGAATTGCTCTTACTAGATGCCCTATCTCTTTCTTTCTTTCTCTCTTGGCGCTTCTTCTCTGCCTCCCTTTTGGTATCTTTTTCTTTGGAAGCAGATGATGCTTTGCTGCATTTCTCGGCTTCCATCTTCTCATCTCTTAATTTTCTCCGTTCCTCCACTAGTCTCGCGACTTCCTCTCGTTGTTTTCTCTCTTCTTCCTCCAAATGCTCCTTTTCCAGCCTAGCTTGTCTTTTCTCCTCGGCTTTTCTGCGTGCTTTCTCAACCCTACTCTCATGATAGCTGGTCCCATTCTCACCCTGCCTAGCCAGTAATCGTCTCTGGTCAGCATCAGTTGACGATTCATCAACCGAAGAACTAAAGCTAAAAATCTTTCTCCAAAGCCACCTAATGCTCATGAAAAAAGAAGCAAGCAGTCGGCAAGCAAAAACAACGCCACCAGGATATGATTTTTCCCCCAAGCAATTCTCATCTTCACCAAATGTACTACCACTATTATTCCGCCAATAGGCTGACTCGCTAGTCCATGTGCTGTTTTCTGACCATTCTTGCCCGTGCATCCAACCATTCTCATTCCATCCCTTTCCATTCAACATCTTACCACCTCTTCCTACAAGATCTTTCAAAATTCCAGAACCAGAAAGTCCTAACCCTGGAGGCACAGGCATGTCTAAAACAGGTCTCTTTGATATATGCCCACAATATGAGCACATAAATTTTCCACCGCCAGGATTTTGGTCCCGGTAAGGTGTTGAGCAGTTACGGCAACGTCGTGTAGCAGTTTTCTTAAGCTTTTGCAGTTCCATAGCTTCCAATCTCTTTCTCTCCCTAAGTCTAGCATTTCTCCGCACCCGCCAAGTAGAGAGCTGAGGCATCAAAACCTCGTACCAGAACAAAGTAACCAAAAGCACAAATACACAAGCTAGCCTCGGAGAAGTTATTTCGAAACGAAAAGCTGGTGGAAGAAGCTGAGACAGAGCCCAAAGTCCAATCAAAGGTAAGACCAACCAAGGCAACATCGTTGCAACCCGGCGAGACCACTTTTGAATCACACACAATATACACATTATCCTCTCAAACCAACCCTTTTTCTTCTTCTTCTTATGAGACCGGAATCAAATCAAAAACCCTAGACTTTCAGAAATTCTTCAACTCAAGGGATGTGCTTAGAACAGAAAACCCTAACCCTAATCTTCCTGCTAGGTTGTTGTATACCATCGAAGTACACTAGTCCCAGCTCCAACAAAAACTTGAGCAAAAATTAGGGCTTGAGGAGAATCAACAAAATACCTAAATGCACAAGCGACATTTGAATCAAATTAAAGACCGCCCACATTCACAAATTGGTAAAATTGATTCGATTTATACAAGTAATGACCGGAAACAAGAAAACCCAGTTCGTAAACAAGCTCGAATTAACTCACGGTGCAATGTGATAGTGAGGCAATGAAAACTTACCGTGAAAAAGGAAAGAATCGGCGAAGCAAAAGAGCGAGTGCAGATTTGAGATTCGGATCCAAATTTCGGGTAGAATAGCGTATCGTTCGAGTCTTGGCAACGAAGAAACCAAGATATTGATTTGACGATGATGATGAGGAAATGTGAGAGAAGAAGGAAGAAAACCGGGTGGTGAAATCGGGGCTGGGTCCTTAATACCTATTCCATTAGTCGGTGGTGCCTTTCATGCGTCCCCTTCGTTTTAGGTTTATCCATACACAAAATAATTTCTTTTTTTTTTCTTACAATAATAATTACATTTGTCAAGAATTAAACTTTGTATTAATTTTCTATATTTTACAAGAATTATGAAATTAGAAACTAAATAATTGAAATAATATTTTTGTCTTTTATCTTATTGCTTCATTTTAAAATTTGTTGTATCTTTTTCTAATTTTTTTAAAATAAGATTTTTGTCTCTTATCTTATTGCTTCATTTTAAAATTTGTTGTATCTTTTTCTATTTTTTTTGGTATAAGGTTGATTTTTTCCACCTTATTTCTTCTTTATTTACTATTTTTGACTTTTCACTAACAAGATTAATGGAGCATTTACAACAGCAGTAAGAAATGAAAATACTTTGAATTAAACTATTTCTTTAAAAAAATTCAGTTTTTCTCTTCATTTTTAGTTAGACTAATGTTCTTTTTTATGATAAATCGAACCATGAACAAAAGTGATCGTCTAAATTATAAATTTATTTTTCATCGCTACAACCGAAATAGTTTTGACGGCGACATCGAGCATTGGTTCGAAGAACAATATACTCTTAAGAAATAACCAAAGTTAAATTGTGTTTTTCAAAAACAAATGACATAAAAAAAAAAAAAGATAAATCGCAAACTCACGTCAAACTCTTGACCCTACCGTATCTCGACGTGACGCTACCGCCAAGCCCAGTAGATTTAATGTGCTGGAACTGGTGGTCAATGCAAATGTTGATAATTCGATCATCACGTTGAACTCTAAAGTTTTTTATTGGTACTTTTCGATAACAAAAAAAAGGTTGTGAAATGTGAACTCTAAAGTTCCCAAAGCCATTACAAGTCTCTCACATTGACGTCTTATTCCTCCATCAAGATCACTCGTTCATTGTCTAATTGTTGTTGGGACACAAAATGGATAGGACTCTGTAGGTAACTTCTCTAGTGGAGTTTTTCATGTTTTTTCTAGATTGTTGGAGCCTTAGCACACCTTACCTTGATTACGAATTTACAACCAATAGTGAATTTTGAAAAAGAAAAAAAATCCAATCAGACTTTGATATGAAGCTTTCCATAAACAACATTGTGAAGAATAATTCCATTCTTAGCACGAAAGTTATGGAATTAAACATCACAAATCCTAAAATCAATATATTACCAAAAAAAAAAAAAAAAATCCTTGCCCAATGAAAAGGCTTCGCTGGCAACAAATGCAAGCCACGATTAAAACACACCACTGTTTTGCTACGCGCGGCTCATAACACGCGTCGGGTTTAATAACTGGTTTAATCACATTGCTTAACATTAATCACTCCCGCCACGACGCGTTTTCTTCAATTCAACTTATAAAACTCGAAACCTTAATTACGTTATACAAAACTAAGTTTTTCTTTTCTTCCAAGTTTGTTATTCCTCCTCCCGAATCTTCGCAATAAAAACAGAACCGATTCCGACCAATTGAGATCTGTAAAATGACGAATCCCGACAAACAGAAGCCGGTTGAAGTTACTGACGTGGAGACTGCGGCGGAGAAGACGTCGGAGCCGACGCCAGCATCTGGAACGTCGACGATTACTCAGAGATGGAAAAGAGAGGATTTGATAAAGAAAGCATCTCCGATTACGAGAGGAATTTGTCTATTGTTCTCTCTTCTTGCTTTCTTAATTATGGTCTCTAATAAACATGGTTACGGTAGAAACTTCAATGAGTACGAAGAGTACAGGTTCGATTCACACTTTTTTTCCGATTGATAACATTTTGATACTCGAATTTGAAATTGGGTTTGTGGAATTTCAATCAAAGTATTGAAATTTCTATCAAAGATTTGAGATTTCTGATTTCGGCTCTCAAATTTTGTCTTCAGATATGTATTGGCGATATCGATTATTTCAACATTATACACTGCGTGGCAAACATTTGCACATTTCTCAAAAAGGGAATTTTTCGATCGCCGGACATCAACTTTGGTCGATTTCTCCGGCGACCAGGTAATGCAGAAACTGTTTTCAAGACATGTGTATTTGTAAAGTTATGATCTTTGATGCAAAAAAGTGAAATTTGTTTATGTAATTTGCAGATTGTAGCGTATTTGCTCATATCAGCTGCATCTTCTGCAATTCCATTGACAAACAGATTCAGAGAAGGTCAAGATAACATTTTCACTGATTCTGCTGCTTCTGCTATCAGCATGGCTATCTTCGCATTCGTCGCGTTAGCTCTCTCTGCTCTCTTCTCCGGTTACAAACTCTCCACTCATTCTTTCATTTGAATCTGTCTCTCTGCAATAACGTGCTTCAATAGTTTTATACCATTGTGATCTTTGTTATACATGTAAATGTCAATTCTTTTATGTGTTCATATAGCTGATACCAACTTCTGTTATTTGGGTCTGTCACTGTGATTCTCTGTGTCACTGTGTGTGTGTGTGTTCTTCTTTGATACATTATTCATAAGTGAAAAATGTGAAAATTGATTGGTTTTATTCAGTTTTTTTTTTCTAGTTCTATGGTACAAACATTAAGCATATTACAGGCGTGTGAAAAAACAAATGAAAAAATTCTCTATGGACTATAGTCTTACTACTATCCTGCAGGATCACTAGTAAGTAGTAAAATTCTTTGGTGGCAGAAATGTACAAAAGGAACAACAGATTCCTTTTTTCTTCAGGGCAAAAACGAATCGAAAAACGAGGTCTCCTCGTTTGGTTCTTCCTTTGCTCTAGAAAACCCACCACCAACAAAGTTTTGTTGCGTTTGAAGGTTGCTGTTGTTGTTATTGTTGTTCATAGCGTAACCAAAAGCCCCGGAATTAGTGTTGTTGTTGTGCAGCATCTGAAGTGTATATGGTGCTTGAGAAGAAGTAGTGTAGTTGGAGTGACCAGCAATAGCAGCTGGTCTAATTGGGACTGAAGAAGAATCTTGTGGTGCTCTGTTTGTGGCGTAACCGCTACCACGAGCTGCAGGAACATCGTGGTTGTGTTTCCCTTCATAGGTTGTGATTACTGCTCTCATGTCGTGTGATGCTCTCTCAACATGTTTCCTCACTGGACAACCGATGGTTGTGCACTTGTAGTAGCTTCTGTTAAATTCAGCAAGTGAAAAGAAAACAAAAGGTCAGATTCTTAAGAACCTTAATTATAATCTATTGAGAAGCACAATTGTTGATGTTATTACCTTGGATTTGGGTTTCCCTTAACGACTTTCTGGCCATATTTTCTCCATCTGTAACCGTCGTCAAGAATGTCGATATCACTAGTTGTCTGCACTACAATTCTTGGCTCTCTCACTGTCTTGCTTCCGCCACCATTTCCACCATTTGTTTCATTTTCTCCTTTCCTGAAAACACAAAAAACAAACATTTTCAGAACTTTCTTATTCAAGATTGTTAAAAGATCGTAGGCGATTTTTAGAGGGTGATGATGATCTGTACCATCTCTTTGCTTCAGGTTCACTCCCACAATCTTCTTCTTCTCTGCTGACAATCGACGAGCCTTGTTCAAACTCATCGTCTCCAACAGAATCAGAAGTAGTATTATCCTCTTGTTGCATCCCAAAGGAATCAGAGTGATGAAAGCTATTATTGGAATTAGGCTGATCAGAAGAAGCTTGACGATTATGATCCAAACTGGCATTGTACACAGCTGAATGAAAAGTCGAAGAAGATGAAGAAGATCTTCTAGTAGACTGAGGTTTGGGATGGTTATGGCTTCCTTTATACACAATCTCTGTGATCTGACCTTCCAAAGATCTCTCCACTTTCTTCTTTGTTGGACAATTTGGGAAAGTACACTTATAGTAACTCCGAGGATTCTCACTTCCTTTCACCTGTTTTTGTCCGTACTTTCTCCAATTGTAACCATCCTCTCCTTTCCTTTGCTCTCTTCCATTGTAAGATACAGCTTGATTGTTTGGACGAGTCTCGGTTTGGTTCCATTGTTCTGACTGGTTATTCTTCTGTTGTTCCTGAAACACAAAACAGAGTTCAGTTACAGAAAAACTCATAAACAGAGGATTTGAGCTGTTGAAGAAGTACATACCTGAGGTTGAAAGATAGAACTGTTTGTTGTTGTCGTTGTTGTTGTAGTTGTGGTCGGAGCAGAAACTCCTGATGATTGTGTGTGGAATGAGAAATCGAAGAAGTTAATGTTGTTGTTGTTGCTCTTCTCTCCTTCATTTATAACTTTCTGGTTACTTCCGTTTGTGATTAAAGCTCCTGTGGTTGGAGAAGCAAGAACCTGCAAAACCATCCCAAGATTTATATTATTGTCACTACTTTTCAGAATCTTGTTCAGAATTCAAGAAAAGAGAAACAGCAATTATTAAGAAACAGAATCGAGAGTTGACTCTGAAACTCTTTCTCTCTCTTTGAAACCGTTGACCCATGACTTTATTAGTTCCGATCACAATTCATTCAAGATGTTAAATCAATGATACATCAAGCACAGATTATTTATCAACAGTTGGATTCATTTCATAAGAAACAGGGAGAGGCTTACGTTAGCAGAGGAGGAGACAAAAGCAGGGGAATCGAGGAAAACAGAGGGACTGAAACAAGTGGAAGGAGAGATAGAGATGGATGAAGGAGCAAAAGATCTAAACTTTGGGATCTCAAGATCATCCAAAGATGAAGTTGATGTTCTTCCGGATTGTTGTGACCAATTATTAGCAGAACCATTCATGTTTTGTCTGGTTCTGCTATTGTCCATTGTAAGAAAAGAAGAAGCAGCCATACGAAAAATGGAAGTTTGTTTTATGAAAGACCAATTTCAGATATTTATAGAAAGTGTTTGAAGAAGAGGGCTTGAAGAAGAAGAAAACGAGAGAAGTGATGGGTTCTTCTTGTTTATGTATTTGTTGGTTATGTCTGTATATATAAAACATAGTGCATGGTCTGATTGGTGATTTTTCTATTATTTATGATTAATTGTTTTTATTGTAGATGAAAAATGAAAAAAAAAAGTGTAGCTTCTGAGAAGGTGATAAAAAGTTTGACCGTTGAAAATATGATTAGAAGAAGAAGAAGAGAGAGATGGTCAGACCTTGTGGCCTTGACTCTCAAACGTTGAACGGATTTTTTGAGAGGCGGCTTCATGCTTTCATCATCTTATGATGTGTTTGAATGCCACGTGTGATTTATTTTTTTTCTTCAATGTTGTAGTATTTTGGATCAAAATACGAATTCAAACATTTGGGAATCTTGGAAAATTTTGACTCGTGAGTAGGTGTACTAGGAAAGGTTCTCTCAATATGTATCTTTAAAGCACATGAGTGTAAAAGATTAGAATTTAGAAGTGAGTTTGTGAGTATTTTTAGCAAAGAACCTACTAATTAAATTCGATATTAAATCCATGTGCGGCTGTTTGGTTTCAATCTATTTATTAGAACTTTAAAAGACTTAAAATGAATAGACCAAAGTTTTTAATTGAACTCATATTATTAATTTAATGAATATAATTTAAACTTCTAATAAATATTTATTAGAATGTTCAAATTCTATGGTTACAAAAATTATTTGTCCTCGTCTCGTATCGGTTGTTGATATAATTGGCTACAAAGAAAGGTAAGAGAATTAAATATCTTGTCAAGCATAGTTAGTGTAAATTGTCAATCGAGCTTAGGTAAATAAAGTGAATAAGTTTCTTATTGCACGATATGTGGTATGGTTCTTCACGTGGGAATAAACTAAACGTCATGGATTTTGTGTCGCTTACTTGCAAGTTGCAAATCTACATTCATTGATCCGATGACAATTTCTTCAGCCCAAAAGCCCAAAGAGTAAATAGCCTCTTTACTTTAATACACGTCGGTATCTCTACAGCTAACACGTAACCAGACGTGGCAAGAGGAGTTGCTTCCAGAATCATTAATAGTTAAAAAGTGAGATATTTCGTAGCCTTACTTTTCAAGTTACACAAGTATTCTTTCTATCTCTACCTAGAAACAGCAACGATGCAAGAAGCCGAGACATCACAACGGCCGTCGAAGTCTTTGACGGATCGAGTGAAGACGAACTGTTTATCCATGGCAGTCTCGTGCCAGGAAGGGTTTAGCTATGTCAAAGCTTTTTTTGTTGGCCAGGTACGTATACAAGAAGAGTCTTAGTTTTCTCAGCTTCCGTAGTCCGAGCCACTGAAGCAAGTGGATCGGAGACTCATGGTCATGGGTCTTCTTGAATCATGATAACTTGACTTATTTGGTGACTCGTTAGTTTGGTTATTGATTTTTCATTTTTATTCTATTTTATTTTTGGGTTTGGAAGACAAAGAGATTGACGGCAAAGAACGAGAAGGAAGCAACGGAGGCTCATCTAACGGAGACAAAAATGCAAGTTGACGCAACCGATGAAGCAGAGAATGCCAAGAAGAGACTTCATCAATCTTCTTAATGTTTCTTTATTAACATATAATAAGAGTGTATACTTTATTAAGTAAACACAAATATCTGTTTTTTCAACTGTTTTTACTACTAATTATAAATGTTGTTTCAATATAGAATTCTATTCCCAAAAGATAAAAACATTTCATTGTATAGCACTACATAAAAGTGAGTTCATACAAAAAAGCAGAGTGGGTTCAAACAAAAAACAGAGGCAAGTTTGTCCTAACGCAACATAAAATTGTCATTGACCTATCGTTTTTGTGTGTTTCCTTTTGACTACATCTTTGACCTATTTAACCAATTGTTCAGCTATTTGATTGATTTCTGGCTGCTCTTATGGTCTTTTCATAAAATTATCCCATTAGTGAGAAATGGTGGCACATTCCACAACATTAGTTACATGTTTCCACGAGTAGGGAGTAACTTGAATAAACATTTGTTCAACAAAGGAATCTTCTCAAAGTGAAAAATGTGGTTTCTAATCCGGTAGAGATGAATTGTATAGAGCATTCCTGCTAACGATACAGTGGAGAATGATATCAACGTCAATATCCAGAAATCCTGAAATAAAAGTCCATTAAACATTATGATCTCGATTGCCACACGCAAATTTTTGCATTTGATGGATAAAAGGAGTCGTTAGCTATATGGATCCGCAAAATGTAAAGTGGAATTCTTATTTACCTTTGGATTGGATACAATGATACCTAATAGATATGCCATCAAGTCAAGAGCCGATTGCAGTGAGTTCTGAACACCTCCAACTACACAACGGTCGGATTCTGAAACAAGATCCTAACACATGACCAAAACATTACCAAAGGTTCTTATAAGTCTTTTAAAGAACACATGTACTACATAACCATATAAGCTAAAGAAATGTAAACATACCTGCATTTGTTGGATGACGGAAAGATCAAACATCCACAAGCCAAGCCTTGAAGCAGCAACTCCAGCCATTAGCATGTAAGATGCTATTTTATCCTTTTTAACCCAAATTGATCCAACGCAGACCAAAAGGCAGCTCCACTGTATGAACAACAACCCTACTTTTGTGACTCTTTTTGTTTTCCATGTCTCATATACAATGTCTTCTTCTATAAGATTGATTACTCAAGTTCCATAACATGTTCAAGTTCTACTAGGTTCATATTTCATATAGGATACAGTTAACAAAGACTACAAGAAATAGGGCTTATAGCCACAGATTTTTTTATAGGTATATATAGTTCTTTCAAATGGATTATCGGTTTCAAGTTATTATACCTGAGACCAGAAGGACCAGAGACCGGTTCTTAGCGTTGAGAGACGAGATTGCATTAACGGATACACTAATGTAGCTGCTAGTCCAACCGTTGCACTTATTCCCCTGCCTATACCGATTATATATGTAGGTATCCCTTCCCACTGCAATGTAGCCGTCATCAATGTTCCAAAGCTGTGTCAAGGTGGTAAATAAGATGATAGACCCAATAAATCATCGAAAACCACAACAATGATCCACATGATCGGTAGGAAATGCATGTTCATATGAGGAGTCTTAAACATAGAGATAAAGAGAAAAGGAACCTAAGGACGGTGAAGAACAAGAGAGGTAGAGAAACCCCGGGGAGTACAACTTCTTGATTGAAATATATTCTCCATGCGCTAACAAAAGAGGACTTGGATACTCTATTAAGAATCTTCCGGATTCCGGTTCTACACGGTGGGTTTCCAGTAGAACTCTCCTCTGTTCCCGGAGCATTAGATACAGAAACAGGTGCATCTGTTCCTTCTACTTGCTTTGTCCGGGAACGCAAGATCCGTCTCTCATTGCTTCGTGCTATCGCAGGAACACCACTATACACAGAAATGAAGAGCCAATATTCAACCCAAGCTGTTATAGTGGCCCAAGCTGCAAAAGTTATCGCTGACGCCTTAAGAGAGACAAAACTGATGATCAGACCAGTGATGACTGGAGAGAGTAGCTTGGAGCTCAAATCAATGCCTCTAATGACAGAATTCATTCTTGTCAATACAGCTGGAGGATGACCTTCTGACATAACCACAGCCCTGTTGGTTGCCAAAAGAGCCAAAATAAAGACACTATAAAACTGCATTCAAGTATGCAAATATACAGTCTTAAATTTACCAGTCTCGTTCGATCAGAATGGTGCCAGCAAGAGTAGAAAGCACTCCAATGGCGCCAGCAACATTCGTTAACACAACCAATATTGCAAACACCGCGAGATTGCGGGACTTAAGATCGGAAACTAGCAACAACTTGATGACTGCACCACCAGCAATAGTGTAGGAGAGGTTCTGGAATAAGAGCCAGAGTCTGAGAACTTTAACGTAGTCCATTCCCTCGACCCATTGCCCCACAATGGGACCAAAAATTGCAGTAGAACCAGATTCTATAGCACCATAAATCGCGGCTAGAAGCAGAGAGTTTGGCCACAAGTGGATCATATACAAAGCAACAGAGAATTCCCATGTTCTGCATCACAACAACCAAGAAACTCATATTGAAAAGCCTATTAGTTATGAAAAATGGAAGTATCCATCATTTTCAAATCATCTAACACTATAAAGAAAGTTTTCTTCTTTCTTGCTTATAATAAACCAACTCTGAACTCATGATCCAAGAATTCAAATCAGTTAAGAAAACCAGTATAAAACAGAGATATATACTTGTACTTTACTGTGAAATTAAGCCCTTTTTTTGGTTGGAGATAAAGAATGATAGAAACCTACCTGGCACTCCATCTTGCAAGAAAATATCCAACGTAAAGATATATCACGAAACGACGTCGTAAGGGTGGTGGGTTTTGTGGCTGTGCTTCTTCTTCTCCTTCTTCACGTTGTTGTTGTTCTTCTTCTTGATGAACAACCCTCAATTCTGTCTCATTCTCCATTTTCTTCTGAGAAATCTCAGATATAACATCGATCAAGCGATTCAGTGTTCATTATGTATCGAATTCCAATGAAACATGACATCTGTTGATATTTCTAGAGTCATCATTTGCATGAGCGTTAGTGTGTGACAACAACGCCGTCCTCGAGAATTGGGATAAATATGGATTCCCATAAAAACAACAATCAATCTAGAAAGCAAAAACAATAATTCTAGGAACATAAATTAATCAGAAAATTCTCAAAAACCTTATTTCTGCGCCGCACAAAGAGCTTTGTTGATCTAATGATGGAAACAGAGTCGAAGAAACTCAGAATCACTTTTATCTTCTAGGGTGGTCCTTATTAATATTGGTGCTATTTCAAATGGGATGAAAAAATTGTTGGTGGAGGACATAACATATTCCCACTAAGCACTAGTGTTAAAAGAGTACTACTACCAATGAGCCAATGAGTGATTGTTGAAGAAGGAAAGGAGAATTTATGGGAATATTTATGGGTTCGTGTGCTAAATGACTATGACACAATTACATTATTTTATGGTTTTCAGATTTTAAGATTGGTTTAAGAAAACATACTCGTCCGAGGCAAGAGTTTGAGCAGGAATTTCGTTTACATCTAAGTCTAATGCAACTTTTTTTTTGTTACATATCCGTGTCGCGACAAGCAATCTAGTAAAAGGAACCGCGGCTCAGGGCCTAATGTCTGCGGTTCCATGCCTTGTCTAAGTCATTCGAGAAATTATAAACTCGTTGTTATACAAATTTACTTATTGAACTAAAATGGATTTAAGCTTATGGTATAAATGGATCTTCTTCTCATGAACTTCTTTTACCCTTACAATATTCAAACTTCTGATATTGTTTACTTTGGAAAAAAAGAAAAAGTGACAAAACAATAACCTTTAACTCCTTTTCATTGCTAGAATCTTACAATATGAGCAAAAGCCTTCACCAAAATTTTAACAAAAAAAAAAAAGACAAATTCGAGTATTAGAGATACAAAATGATTAGCAAGTATCAAAAGATATAACCAGAGACAAGATATTGTTCATTGTTGGAACTTGGAACATCCAAAGATTGAAACAAAACAGAACAAACACAAGCTCTCTCGATCAGGACGACACTGAATCTGAATCACTTGCGTTGTAACCTGAGAAACCAGAACAAACAAAACAAAAATCTCATATCCAAAAGCAAAAAGGGCTAATTTGTTGATAAACTAATTAGACTTGTAATAAAACAAAGACCTGGTCGTTTATCTTTCACTTTCCATACTGAAGAACGAACTCTTGATGCTTTCGTAATCCAAAGCCTCCCCTAATGATTAATAAAACAGAGAATCGAATTCAAAAACCTCAAAAAAGACGAAACTTGCAAATCAATCTCATCAATTAGATTATCACAAACCCTAAACTTGGAAAAGAAGAGATTGAAAGGGAGGGATAAAGAAGAAACCTTTTTAGCATCCTTAGGGACTCCATAACCAGAGTAATACATCTGACCTAACAAAACCTGCATAGTGATGTTCCCAGCTTTAGCTTCCTCAAGAGTGTCTTTGAACCACCGCTTCGCACAATCAGAGACCACCGAGGAAAGCGGAACAAAGCGGCGGCTAGTTTCGCTGGTGGTGGTAGTGGCTGATGAATCTTTGTCGGGACTGTCCATGGAGGAAGAAATGGGTCGGATCGGTTTTGAGGATTTGATGAATCCAGCTACTGCAGCGGAAGCTCCTCTTAGCCCTGTTTTGACGGGAATCGATTTTCCCATTTTTATTTATAAAAAAAATAAAATAAAATAAAATGAAAAACCGATTTTCTTCTCAATCTCTTTATTTTGGTTTGGTTTGATTTTTTTTATTAAAATATTAATAAAAGATGCCAAGTTGCCAACAAACAAAAATGGAAAAGAGTAAGAAAAAAGGAAAATCTTATGGGCCTAGCTCTTAAGCCCATCATAACTAAGACCGACTCCTTTCTATTTCATAACGGTTACTCAATAAGAGATGTGTCTATATAAGGGAGGCCATCATAATTCTCGCAATTGCAATTCTCAGTCTTCTCTCGCTCTCGTTTCCTTTTTTGTTGTTCTTTGAAGATCATCTCTTGATAGGTTTCGTGATTTATTCAGAGTTTTTGATTATGCATAACCAAACCATTATTTTGAATCTGGGTTTGTTTATGCATAATTTGTGTTCTTTTTCTTTCTTTAGTTTAGGTTTTGGTAGTTTTACGATTGTGTTTTTCTTAGATTTCGAACTTCTCTTTTCTAAAATCAAAACTTCGATTTGCTTTTTCCAAAATCCTTCTTTTTAGGGTTTTCAATTTCAAAACTTTTGTTTTTCTTGATTTTACGTTTGTTTTTTCAAATTAGGGTTTCTGTTTTTTTTTTTTTTTTTTTTTTTTTTTTTCCGTTTCTCGCAAATCAAAAGCCCTCTTTTTAATTCGTGTTTTCTTCCTTTTCGAAGGGCTTTTTCTTAAATTCAAAACTTGTTTTTAATCTTTGGTTTTTAGTTTGTTTAAAGATTTCTGTTTTCTTCAAACCCAAAAGAAAGGGACAACACACATTATATGATTGTGTCTGTCCGGTTTCTAACTTGGGAAAATTGTCCCGTATAGTCCCGATGTTGCCTAAGATCATATGCTTGTCGATCTATGTCCGTGAGTAAAAGATTGGAGAAATCAATCTCTATAGTTTCATTGTCTTGCTGTACTGGGACAGCTTGACATAAACTTCAAATTTCTGCAGCCTTTATTAAGTAAGGCTTGGACAATGATGTCCCGAGAATTTCAATTCTCTACTTAAACGATACAATTCAATATTCTGCAAACTGAATAATACAATTGTCCGGACAAAGATATATTGCTCGGACTGCATAGTCCGATGTTGCCTAACAAAACCTAAGATCATATGCTTGTCAATCTCTGTCTTGCTGTACTGGGACAGCTTGATATAAACTTCAAATTCTGCTAAGATCAGCCTTTGTTAAGGCTTGGACAATGATGTCCCGAGAAATTCTGTTCTCTGCTTAAACGATACACTTAAACGATACAGTTCAATGTTCTGCAACTTGATGGAGAATAAGAGTCCTTTGATAAGGCAATTGTCCGATTATAGATATATTGCTGGAGCTGGGACAGCATTAACATTCAACATTCTGCTGTATAGAACTTCAATCTCTGCTTAAACTATACATCTCACAGATATGATATTCAATACTCTGCAAATTGATGGAGCATAAATGTTCTTTAATAGGACTTACGTTTGATGGTGTTCCGAGGTTAGAATCTCGAGTGTCTATTAAAAGATAGTTTGATGTGGCTGGGGCAGCATATTAATATTCAGTGTTCTGCTCATAATTACATATGCTTGTCAATCTATGTCTTGCTGTGCTGGGACAGCTTGATATAAAATTCAGAATTCTGCTAAAGTCAGTCTTTATTAAGGCTTGAACAATGATGTTCCGAGAATTTCAATTCTCTGCTTAAACGATACAGTTCAGTGTTTTGCAAACTGATGGAGAATAAAAGTCCTTTAATAAGGCAATTGTTCGATTAAAGATATATTGTTGTAGCTGGGACAACATGGTTAACATTCAATATTCTGCTATAGAGAAAACTTCAATCTCTGCTTAAACCATACATCTCACTGAGATATGATATTCAATACTCTGCAAATTGATGGAACATAAAGGTTCTTTAATAGGACTTATATTTAAAGATAGTTTGTTGTGGCTGGGGCAACATAATAACAGTGATCAATGTTCTCTGCTTAAACCATACTATTCAATATTCTGCAAATTAATGGAGAATAGAAGTCCTTTGATAAGGCTGGCTTTCTAAGATGGGAAAGCTCGATTGTCCGATTAGAGATATTTTACTGGAGCTGGGACAGCATGTTAACATTCAATGGTCTGCTCATATGGAGATAATTGTGTCTCTTTGAAGAAGGCTTGTCCTTTTAAAGATACTCTGCTGTGGCTGGGACAGCATGAGAACATTCATTGTTCTGCTCATATGGAAACAATTGTGTTCCTTTAAAGAAGGCTTGTCTCTTTTAAAGACAGTTTGCTGTGGCTGGGACAGCGTTATAAGATTCAATGTTCTGCTCATATGGAGATGATTGTGTCCCTTTAAAGATACTTTGCTGTGGCTGGGACAGCATGAGAACATTCATTGTTCTGCTCATATGGAAACAATTGTGTTCCTTTAAAGAAGTCTTGTCTCTTCTAAAAACAGTTTGCTGTGGCTGGGACAGCATGATAACATTCAATGTTCTGCACATATGGAGAAAAATTGTGTTCCTTTAAAGAAGGGTTGTTTCTTCTAAAGACAGTTTGCTTTGGCTGGGACAGCATGATAACATTCAATATTCTGCTATAGAGAAAACTTCAATCTCTGCTAATCTTTATCAAGTTATCAATGAGATACTTCACTTTACTGTGTTATAAGTTCGAACCACATCTTTTGGCGATTCATTCTTAACAGGGATATAAAAGTATTGCAGAAGATCCGACTAGGAGATTGTATCTTTCCCTCTTTTGATCAGGTAAAGTGTCTCTTCCGTCTATTAAAACAAGGTATGATCTTCATAATATTTCTTTCTAGGTAGATTTTGCTTTAGGAAACCAAACCTCATTAAGCTCACACATTTTTAGTGATAACACTAATACAAACATAAACACATAACACGAACACATACACTAAACGTAAACATTACACACAAACACAACTTTTGTGTTCACACTGATACAAACATAAACGCATAACACAGATACAACGGTAATACTAACATATTTAAATACAGCGTTATCTATTGTGCTCACGAACACAACGGTAATACTAACATATTTAAATACAACGTTTTTATTGTATGATGAATGAGTGATAAAGTCGTTAACTAATCAGTTAGATAGGTTTTTAGTGAGTTAGTTATCACTTAACAGAAGTTGATCAAACTCCTAAATAACACACTGTTTTTCATTTCTATAAACTAAAACGTCAAGTACTTCTTCATTTCTCAATTTGTCACAATGGTAGCAGAGCAGTGAAAGCTCAACTTTCACCTCTTCTTCTTTCAGTCACGCATGTTTTCTTTGATTCCTTCGGATTTTTTCCAAGGATCACTCTTTATGTTGTAAAATTTACGCATTTGTTTTTCGGCATCTCTTCTCCGATGGTTTATGTTCAGAAAGTCAATCGAAAACTCAAAATCCTCAGCTGAGAAACGCAAGTGGAGCTCGTCACTTACGAAGAGGACAGTTGATATTGCTCATGTTCCCGGAGTTCCAGCAACAAATTTCTCCATCAAACGAATCTCGTGACAATGCACATTCTCTGCTTTTCCTTGCACAACCATGATTATCCTCGTATAATCCATCATCTCAAACTCTTGATGGTGTGAATTACAACTTCTGGAATGTAGCTATGCTCACTAGACTAGATGCGAAAAATAAGACAGCGTTTGTTGATGGATCTCTTCCCTTTCTTTAGAAATCGCATTCTTAGTTTCGAATATAGTCTAGGTGTAACAACATATTATTATTAGACCACGTTGAGAAAATTTTCGAATCAACATAGTATCTTTTGTGATTGTGGA